TTTACCGACAAAACCAAAGAGCATGGATTCCTGCAGTCACGAAAGCTTCAAGTCAACATTGTCCCTGTGATTTGACTAAATAACATTTGAATTAATGGGCTTCTCATTTACTCAAGACAAACCTCACCTTAAGTATCAAGACTCATACCCAGGAGGGGTTTCTGTGTTTGGTAATAATCATTAATTAGTCTCTCCCGTTGCTTCCGGCGCTTAGGTGCTTTCGTTAGAGCGCCGGGCGCTTGGCTCGGCGCCCAGGAGGTTACAAGTTGAAATCCCCGGCCTGGGAGTCGAGCCGGTCTTCGGAGAGGCTGAGCTCCGTCGCGTGAATGTGGAACTAGCGCCACGGCTTACGCACCAGCAGCTGATACCAGTAAGGGTCCTCATCAAGGTCGGCAGCGCTACCGAGCGTACCGAGCAATTACAAAAAAAAACATGCTGGCTCCGCCAATGACCACATCTTATCGCATTTATTTTACCCACTGCCACATTTCCTACAGTGTGTGGCTAGGCGGGACACGCTGCTGTGTAGATTGTGAATCGCAGGGGCAAGTGTTTGGCGATTTGAGGCACGGGTCCCCTCGTTCCCTCGACTCGAGCGTCGCCTTTGCCACCCATCAGTTCCCTCGTGAAATCGCAAGCCGAACTCTGCAATGGGGGCCCAAAACGTCGACGTCCCAAAAGATGTTTCGTTTAATAAACCGATGGCGACCGCGCGCGGAGAAACTTGGGGGGGGGGGGGGGGGGTTTCCATTTCCCGCAGCGCTTGAACCGATGGAGAAGTTGCCGAAGTTTTTAATATTTCTCAATATATAAATTTTTTTATGTTGTGGTATTGTTTTTTGTTTGTTGCCGAGTTTTCCATATCGTGACCTCCGTGCCTTTGAAGGCGCTCTCTCTCTCTCTCTTTTCTTTTGGTATATATTTAACAATTTTTTTAACGAAAATAACTTATTTGCACGTATGTGCGGTACAGTGTGCCCACTGCGGTGATTGCCACCGGAGCGTGAGGTCGCATGTTCCCACCCACCATATCCTTTTCCCCTTCCCTGTACTACCCATTTACCGAGAATGCAATCGACCATTTTTCTAAGTGGCCATTTGTAGTCAGGCTTGGTGGCACTGTACAGTTCAACGTCCCATATCTGCACTCCTCTCACTCACGGCTCCGTTTATCCGTGGCCTGAATCGGTTCGCGAAGACTCTTATTATTCACAAGTTGATGTCCTTTCTATTGTCTGCATTCGTCCAACGGTTAAGAGGAGTGTGACACGTAAGCGGTTTGCCGTGAGCACTAATTGCGGCTGATGATTATGGAATGATGATGATGATGATGTTCACCATAGTAGTGGTGTTGATAATTATACAAGGGCCTTTAAACTCATCCACTTGGCACTGGACCGTCTCTCACCGTGCGAGGTCTCTTAATGAGCCTCCCGCCGACCATCAATTTGAATTTGGTCCTCTGATAATCTCCGTTTAGGGGCCGTCCATCAATGACGTCACGCGATTTTGGACGATTTTTTACCCCCCCCACCCCTGCTCGTCACACGGCGTCACAAAAAGTCAAACCCCCCCCCTCAAATATGACGTCACAAAGCTCTGCCCCCCCCCCCGCCCCAAATATAAAATATTCTTCAAATCGCTTTAAACTATTGTCATTGTAGTGCGTATTTAATGTGGCGCTGCACTCTGATGTTGTAGGAGAAAACATTTATTAAAAAGTCTATTTAATTAAGTAGAACGCGTGTTGTCTATATTTATTTAAAGTTGCGCATTTTGATGTGACGTCACATTTCTCAAACCCCCCCCCCCTCGTCACACATCGTCACAAATATCTGCTCCCCGCTAGGTGCGTGACGTCATTTATGGACGGCGCCTCCATAATCTCCTGCCCTGCGCGATCGCCCGCGAAGCTCGCTCGCGGTTTTTGACTGCCTCGTGCGGATATAAAGACGCGAAGTGGCCAATCCCCTCCCGTTTTTCCACTCTCGTCCAGGACCGAGTCATCCCATTATCCGCGAGATTGTCGTCGAATGAGAGGAGGCACCTGGAAGTGGTGGTAAATAAACGTATCCAATTATCCACACGTGCGGATAAAGGGGAGTTTATCCCATGCGTAAATTCCGGTAATGGGAGTTGCGCTTTAATGAGAGAACATGATTGACGGCCTGAAAAGTTGTGGGTTCATATCCCGGTAAGGGGCCAGTTCAGTCCATCCGTCCATTTGGAGTGAATAAAAAAAGAGCACTCCTCTACTTTGTAGTACCGCTGTGTCAGGGCCTGTAATGAATTCGTGCACTGTGCTTGAACATGGTGTGAATGTGTCTTAAAGCCTTATTCTTGGTTTTTTTTCAGTAAAGTCGCGTAGAAGGGAAATAATAAAATAATAAAACAATACAATTCTCACGACGTTTCGACTGCAACACAAGCAACTGGTTTTGCATCGCGTAAATTTTTCTTAGGTTTGTTGAATTCTCGTCTCTCATCTTCTTGTTGTATTTACCTCCGTGTAAGTTTAACGCTCTCTATGTGTTGCGTCGATGTCACCCTATGTGCTCCCTCGCTATTTGTTTTTTTTACACCTGATGAAGATCGCTTGTGTTGCGGTCGAAACGTCGTGATTGATTTATTTTATTTTAATATAATTTCATGGTATTTCTACATACGTGACATTACCGAAAAAAAACAATGAGTGTTGTCTAGAGTTTGCGGTTTGATTTCATGGGAAGAGTGACTGCTGTACTGTACACTTTGCCGCTGTACTGTACACTTTGCCGCTGTGCGGCAAATTGGCGTCGCGGTAGGCCTTTGTAGCGTCGGGGGTTTCGTGATTAATTTTTATAGAATTATAATAATGATAATAATTTGAACAAGAGAGAACGACTCGCAGGTGCGAGGAGGAACCACAGACAAAGCGGAAAAAGGCGGCATCCGGGCAGTTAGCAGGCCCCAAGTTCCGCCCCAAGCTCTGCAGTCCTATATTCAGGAGCAAATACAGACGCAGACTTGTACGTCTCCTACACATTTACATCTCTCCATCTCCAGTTGAAAATCACAAAAGCGTTTCTGACACAGTGCATCAGCTCGGCCTTCTGTGAGTGGGTCATTTCGGCGGCGTTGCTTCAAAACAAGCAAACCCCGAAGCCGGTTTCGGCTCCCGGTGTCTCATCGGGAAGAGTCCGGCTCGCTTGAATCAACGGCGGTGAACTGGCGATCTTATAGGGAAGGAGCCATCCCCTTACGGGTTCCCAGTTTGACACGAAATTATAGAACACGTAACTCAAAATAATCGTAAATCATCATTTTGGAGAATGTAAATGACAAAATTAACGAGCAACGGTCTCCTGCACATAATAGAGGATTTTTGTTGGTTAGATCGCGTACATTTTACGCGATCTAACCTCTATTATGGATGATATTGGTCGCGAAAGCCGACGTGTTAAACTCTCCTTCACATATCCGTTATATGAACAGTCGATATAATGGTGGGGGGTGGAGGGGGGGGCCTGAAACACGGACGCCCTGCCGAAACATCAACGTGCTCTCCTTCAAACCTTTAACGCTACGGCCAGGAGAGGTCGTACTGGCTAAGTGGAAAGATCGTGAACCCCCTATGCCGCTGTCACGGAAACAAGGGGCCCGGACAGCCTTATCGCCCCAAAGCGGAGATTGAGCACTCAAAGCCATCGAGCTTCAAGGGAGGGAACGGCGAGAGTTTGAGACCAGGTGGCCCCCCTACCTCACCCTTCCTACGAAGCCTAACATGAGGGGCGCGGTGCGAAGTGGTCCGGGAGATGGGGACAGCTGCAGAGAGGGGCAGCGCCCCCCTCAGCCGGCCACGGGCGTGAGCGGATCATTGAGCCAGTGAGAGGGTGGTGCTTAAGCTCGTACGCCGAGCGTACATTATTTTTTTTATTTTAAGGGTTTTCCCTTGCTACCCTCTTAACCCTCTCTCCCCCTCACTCGTTCTCCGCTAACCCCTTGGCCTTCCCCCCCCCCCCCCCAGTATGTTAGACGCCTTTCCCCCCATGCCCCCCTTTTCCCTCCCCATGTAAATCCTCATGTCTCTGCATGTAGGTCCCCCCACTTGATTTTTCCCCTCAACCCCCGCTCACCGTACGGCCCCTGCCCACGACCAATTCGAGTTTCCGTGTGCGGAGTTTCTGTTCCCCTTCGTTCACGGTCGGCGTGTTGCTGCCGGGCTCCCGTTTTTTTGCGATAAAAAGAAAAAAGTCAATAAAATGCCCCTGACTTACGTTTCTTCTCCGATGCACGCGTTCCGCTAGAATGTGGACGAAAGACGGAAAGAAAGATACTTGCAGCGGAAAGGTCGAACGCCCAAATTACCAGCAGCTCTGCAAGGGTGAGGCTGGAAGTCGACATCATCCGACAAAATGTTCATCGGGCGTTTTGGAGTCATCGATTATTCACACACCCCCCCTCCCCCCCCCGGCGCAGGGAAGGGTGCATCATGCATGCTCAGCTCGCTCGCTCGTGAGAATAGGGTTTCCCCTTTTTTTCTGGCAACAAAACACGTGTCAAGATGTTAAAGCACCAAACTGAAACCTTTTTACAAGGAATTATGTCTGCATTAACCACAATACTTGTGGTCAGAATGCAAACAAAAAAAAAGTACTCTGATAATATATTGGCATTGTCTTTGAAACTGATTGGTCCACACCAGAGACAGCTTTCTTTCGTGGTGCTGGCAAAGGAGGTCCCATGATGTAGTCTCTCGCTCGTTTTTGACAGTGATGGAAAGCGTTTGCTAGCTAATGAATTCTACAGAGCAAACTGCGGTAAGTGCCCCCCCCCACCCCCCTCCGCTCACCACGGCGTCTGTTGAAAGTGCGCCTTCAATCAACCTCGCTCTCAGCTGCTGACAGCGAGCCACCTCTGTTTCTTGTTTTTTCCTTCCCCCATGCGAACAACCGCGTGCCTAATGAACTGACGGATGCCTTAATTGCGCCTTGCGCGGTCGCGTGCGTGTGTCTCTGCAGGCTGGGCTGCGCTGATATCCAGTGCTGAGCGGGCCGAAGGCTTGCGGTGTGCGTCGATCTCCAACCCCCCGAGTGACCTTTTTCTGCTCGAGAAGCTTCGTCTCCCAGCTCGCGCGTCGGTCCAGGTGAGGTGCTCGCACCGACGCCCGGTCGCTGTGCACAGAATTACATCGGCTCTTGGCTTCCGGTTTCGCAGAGGGAGGGAGCTAAAAATAAAATAAAACACACACTCAGCCGTGGCTGGGCGTCACGTCGCAGATCTTGGCAGTGCCGTGGTCGCAGGCTCGATTCTTGGCAGACAGCCCACCGTTAAACCAGGTACTCAAGTGCTTTGGTGAGATTCAGTATCTCGGTTCGGTCGCGAAAGAAAGTGCAGATTTCGTCGTCGAAATTTGGTTTCGGGTTTCGAAAAATGTGCGTTTTGATGAAGGAGTAATGTCTGCATTACTCCGCATCTCAGAAAACTGAACTTTGACAAAGCAACCGCAAATGAAGCTTCATTGCCTTCAAAACGTCATTGGGTTGGGAACTTTGAGTTGGGAACAGAACGCGTTGCGGATGTAATCAGGTGAGACCTGTGTGCAGTAAAGGATGGCAGGTTACTGAGACAGGCTTGCAGTGTCACCCACAGTTCATGAACCAAAGTAGCACACCTGAAATCAGATAGGTGGTTGTGAGGATCACGATAATGATGATGACTGGACCTTGAATGTCAGGCGTTAACAATGGAACACTTGAGAGGATGGGCAAAAGGAAGGCGATCGGGCATAGTGTGGTGACATCAGCAGCATCTGTCCAAATTGTCGACCATATCTGAGTAATGTCAACACGTGTCGCGTGGTTCCCACGGTCATGGAAAAACCTTGGAAAAATGTTTGTCGTGGAAAGTCATGGAAAATAAATAGAAAATGGTAAAAAAAAAAGTCATTGAAATTTCACCCCAGGTAACCATTTCAGATTGGTGGATTTTTAGAATGTTGGCTCTGGCAATCTTCCAGTTTGCTGATTTCTCTAAATATGGATTTAACTACACATTTTCAGACCTTTTTCACTGTTGCAGTACTCATGTCGTCGGCAACTCTACCACGTGGCGGTCGGCCACTGTCTGAAGACCTGAACTTCTGTACTACCGGACTAAAAATGCCCTCGTTTAAAACTGGAAGACTGAAAAGGTGTGGCACCGTTTGTTGCCAGGGCTATACTCATGGCCTCTTGTTTGCTAGACGTCTACAGCTGTTTGCTGTGTATGCCCTCTGGTAATCAGAATCTTTATTTACCCTGGAGAAATCCGATGAGCTATGAATCTCTTCATAACAGATGTCCAGTAACCTGTTTCCAGTTCCTAGTGGGGAGACAAAGGTTCTGACCACACCTCCATCGCCTCGTGTGCCACAGTGCCAGCCTTCTTCATAGGTGCTCTCTAACAGCACTTGCCCCAACAGCCTGTTAGAGGCTATCCGGGGGGGGGACTCTTTGTCATTATCTAATAATTGGACAATCTAGGTGCACGATTTTTATGCAGTATAATTTTTCCCGAAGCGGCCAGCAAATATCTCGGGAAATGTATTTATACGCATAAAGCAATTTTACAATGACATAATCGCGCAGCTGTATATGTATGTGGCATTAGGTAGGCCGAAAATGTCATTTGCTTTGCGTTTGTAAACTCGAGCGATGTCCGTGAACTAGCGCGGAAAAATTGAAGCGGCCCCTTCTTCTTTTGTCCATCTTGTCGCGAGGGTGCCTGGTCGGTGAGGTAGCTCCTGAAACACGAGCGTCTCGCAAGTGAGGTGTTCACCGTATCAAGTCGCCGCCGTGTAATATCCCAACGGACATGCACGCACACGCAGAGCACGTGGGGGTAGGGGCGGGAGGCGCATCTTCAGTTTAATTATAGGTGACATTTGATCTGCTTTGTATTCAGAAGTGTGGATTATTTTTGTTGTTGTTGACCTTCAAGGTGGTTTTGAATTCCCCATTCATTCAATCCATTCATCATCGTCATCATTATCATCATCATTTACTGTCATTAATTTCGCTTTCACCGATTTTGCCCATTGCTTCCTCTCATCTATTTCATTCGCCGCATCTCCACCATTGCATGCATACGTTGTGCCATTGTTAATCCTTTGTCAAGCATAGTGAAATGTTGATCAGTGTTGTCATGAATGTGATCAATATTCCCCCGGTGTTACAGATACAACTTGCCGACCGTTTAAACATTAAAGAATGTAGGCAATGAAAAACCAGCAAATTGTCATGGAGAAATTTCGATTTAAAGCTTTCGTGACTGCAATGATTCATCTTCTTTGGTTCTTTCGGTAAAGTCACGTAGAATGAGAATAAAATAATAAATTGATAAAATAAAATAACACAATAATATTCTCACGACGTTTCGGCCACAACACAAGCGGCCTTCATCAGGTGAAGGGAGCGAGACTGTCTGGTAGGACAGCGCTGGAGTGAGAGAGCCACGTTCAGATCACGGCTTTTAAGCTGTGTGAGAGGAACAAAGAGCCTTAGAGTCGCGGCATCTCTTCAGAAAGGTGAGAGACTCGATTAGTTGAGCCTTCTTATCCCGAAGTCTGTTGAATGATCTTAAGGACGTGTGGAATCCCTCCCCGTAGAGGCGGTTAAATTTCGAAAGCTTTAAATCGAAATTTAACCGCCTCTACGGGGAGGGATTCCACACATCCTTAAGATCATTCAACAGACTTCGGGATAAGAAGGCTCAACTAATCGAGTCTCTCACCTTTCTGAAGAGATGCCGCGACTCTAAGGCTCTTTGTTCCTCTCACACAGCTTAAAAGCCGTGATCTGAACGTGGCTCTCTCACTCCAGCGCTGTCCTACCAGACAGTCTCGCTCCCTTCACCTGATGAAGGCCGCTTGTGTTGTGGCCGAAACGTCGTGAGAATATTATTGTGTTATTTTATTTTATCAATTTATTATTTTATTCTCATTCTACGTGACTTTACCGAAAGAACCAAAGAAGATGTCATGGAGAAGTCATGGAACAACATTCAGATTTGTGTCGGAACTCCGTCTGTCATTGAGGGGCGTGAAACACACGGGAGAACCGCTCCTCGTAATGTACGTTGAACTTCTTTCGCACCGTACGTAGCCAACCGTTCTGATCGCAGGCGTGGGGGAAGGTGAACAAACTAAACACAAAAAGCAGTTTTAAAGAAATGAGTTTTCAGTCCACTTGTGAAAGTGCACAGCTCCATTGGTTTCCTAATATCGGAAGGAAGAGCGTTCCAGACGGCCGCAGAAGCGCATCGATGGCCAGCCAGTTCACGTGGTGACGGTGGTTTATGCTACTTGACGAGATCAGCAAGGTGTTGTGATTACCTTTTGAGCAAGTTCAGAAGTGGTTTTCTGGCCTGGTTTCTAATTGACGTCCCCTAACCACGTGACATCGTGCTGACTGAAAGACGTTTGGGAAGTAACTCTTGACAATCCCAGGTTCAGAGGTCAGTCTCCTTGAGAATTGCGCGTTTATTATATTCGCCTAATAAATTAGTATTCATGCACTTAGATTTGATGGTGTACAGCACATGCACTGTGAGCACGTCATTAAAAGATCCCCCCTGTTCACTCCTTAGGGGCCGTCCATAAATGACGTCACGCACCTGGTGTGTGTGATGAAGGGGGGTGGGTTGAGAAATGTGACGTCACATCAAAATGCGCAACTTTAAATAAATATAGACAACACGTTCTACTGAATTAAATAGACTTTTTAATAAATGTTTTCTCCTACAACATCAGAGTGCAGCGCCACTTTAAATACACACTACAATGACAATAGTTTAAAGCGATTTGAAGCACGTTTTATTTTTTTGGGGGGGGGGCGGGGCAGAGCTTTGTGACGTCATATTTGAGGGGGGGGGGTGTCTGACTTTTTTGTGGTGACGAGGGAGGGGAGGTAAAAAAAACGTCCATAATCGCGTGACGTCAATTATGGACGGCCCTTAAAATCGCCGTTCCTAATCTGTATCATTGCTACCGGTTTGGTACAAAGGGACATTACGCCGTACGTCGACACGACACCGGGAGGCCTTCATCCAGCAGTGGATTGAAAATGGGTGGTAAGTGCAATGATCCAAATCTTGATTTAAAGCTTTCGTGACTGCAGGAATTCAATCTCTTGGGTTTTACGGTCAAGTCACGTGAATACAAAATAATAGATCACGAACGTTTCGATCGTAACACAAGCAATCGTCTTCAGGTGAGAGAGATAGAGAGAGAGCGAGCTGTTGAGCAATCATTGGAAGGACGTGATGAACCAGGTAAAGTCTTGACTTGCTATGATGTTTCCATCCTTTCTACCGATGTTAACTGACTCTCTGAGTTTCATTACTAGGTTGGATGTCTTTGTGTTGGCCGGCTGGGTGTCCACTGCCCCAGCCTCTGTGGTTGGACCATCTCGAGCTCCACCCATCTCAGGCCTACATAAGACCTTGTCTCAGCAGCTCTCTCTCTCACCTGAAGACGATTGCTTGTGTTGCGATCGAAACGTCGTGATCTATTGTTTTTGTATTTAAGTGACTTGACCGAAAGATGCAAGAGGACAATGATCTAAATTTCGATTTAAAGCTTTCGTGACTGCAAGGAGTCATCTTCTTTGGTTCTTTCGGTAAAGTCACGTAGAATGAGAATAAAATAATAAATTGATAAAATAAAATAACACAATAATATTCTCACGACGTTTCGGCCACAACACAAGCGGCCTTCATCAGGTGAAGGGACGAGACTGTCTGGAGGACAGCGCTGGAGTACCTTGCCTGGTATACAGGAGGTCCAGCGCTGTCCTCCAGACAGTCTCGTCCCTTCACCTGATGAAGGCCGCTTGTGTTGTGGCCGAAACGTCGTGAGAATATTATTGTGTTATTTTATTTTATCAATTTATTATTTTATTCTCATTCTACGTGACTTTACCGAAATAACCAAAGAAGACAATGATCTAGTTGAGTTCTCGCTGTTTGAAAAAAAAAAATTGAGAGATACCTCCGTCACGATTTTTATTTGTTGATTTTATTTTTTTTAAGGGCGCCACGGTCGAAAAATGTTGACTACCTTGCCTGGTATACAGGAGGTCATAGGTTCCATCCTGACCCCTAATGCCTGCATATTTGGAGTTTGCACGTCTCTCTCCCCGCGGCCGTGTGGATTTTTCTCCGGGTTTTCCCTCCACATGTATAAACGTGCATTTAGGATATTTGGCTGCTAGAAATTTCCATGCGACAAGCCACTTTGTTGAGCTGTCATATGTGGCCAGGCCGCTTCTGAAAAGGAGCTACATAGCTCAGTTGGCCAATGGCGGAGCCAGGATTTTCAGGTAGGGGGGGAAACCCCTCCAGCAATGAAAAATGATAGAGGAGTTTATTGTTTTATATTTTTATTATTTTATTGTTTCCCTTCTACGTGACTTTACCGAAAGAACCAATAATATTAATCCCTGCAGCCACGAAAGCTTTCAATCAAAAGATAGAGGAGTTGTTAGTAAGTAAGGAGTTGTTAGTAAGTGAGGACTTGTCCCTTGCTTATAATTCGACGCGTGTGCGGCGATGGTACAGCCATCGATCGAGGGTCGAATTCGAACCGCGTTGTGTGATCGGCATCGCGCTCGCTGAAGGTGAATGCCTTCAGGGAAGTCGTGGACTGTTTACGCAACTGCGCACAATTCTGTGAGTCACTTATAACTGCTTTGCTGTTACTTTTTGCCAATTATGGACTATTGTCCTATCATCTCATAGAGTCTCTGGCACATAATAATATGCCACGCAGTGGCAGTGGGGGTCGCAAAATGCCGATTTATTACTAATAAACCCCAATGATCCGATCAAAATTAGGGATTTCAATTGGATCATTGGGGGGGGGGGGCACGTGCCACCCCCCCCCCCCCACTGGCTCCGCCAGTGCAGTTGGCTTTACCTGGTAAAACAAAATAGTTTCGTTTAGTTCATAATTCTTATTGCTTGTGATGAACGGAACTCGAGAACCCAGATAAAACCCACGTGTGCACAGGAATACCAACCACAATCCATGAGGTACCCACTTGCTCTCCTGCCATCTACCGGTCACCCCCTCGCAGCCCAGCAAGTCTCACAGCAGTCGATGATCTCTGTGTGGTCCACGAATCCCCGCCGCCAAAAGCGCTGGATGACATGGGCGTGTGGCTCCGCGTCGGACAATGGCTAGAACATGCCAATTAATGTAAACGTGGGACCCCACAATACTAAATAAACTCATATTATACATTAAATTATATCCATGCGAGGTTTTTTGGGGTTAGATTGCTTGAATATAAAAGTGTCGTTACACTCGCCACCACAGCCAATTAGTAAGGTTTGTCACGTAAACAAAAAAATGCCAATTCGGTATTCATACAGCACACCAGTGTGTTGGAGAGTAAATCCACAATATTTCCAATTTTTTTACTAATTGGCTGTGTCGGGTGGTGGTGGCTTTAACGGCACATTTATATTTACGCGATCTAACCCGAAAACCTCTATTCATGGATAATATTGGTCGCGAAAGCCTGCGTGTTAAGTTAAATTATAAAAGGTTGCCGTCACTGCACTTTGGGAAGATTAGTCCTTGTGAGGACATACAAGACGCAGCAGCCCTGGCAGTGCACGTGAACGCTTTTATTTTGTCGTAACGCAAACACCGGTCAACCCTCGCCCCAGCAGCGGCGGCGGCGGCGGCTTTCGGCTAGCCATCGAACATAGACGGTGGTCACCGCATCGCGCGGCGCTTTCAGATGCGCTTCTGCGGCCGTCTGTAACGCTCTTCCTTCCGACATTACGAAGCCATTGGAGTGATGCGCTTTTACACCTGGATTGAAAATTCACTTGTGTAGAACTGATTTTTTGTGTTTAGTTTATTGCCCTTCCTCCGCACCGACGCTTAGCTCGGTTGGCTCCGTACGACGCGAAAAAAGTTGAACATATATGCAAACGTAGCACTCTGGGTCCTTGAAGGGTTTCTCTGGTACTCAGTAGCTGCTATATTCATCTGGTTATTTAAAAACTGATCGTCACAAATTTTTTTAAATGTAATTCTCATCAGGCCCCACGGTGCTAAGTGCCGTCCCCAGCTCTTACAAGCCACTCTAGCTTTCTGGCCTCTCTGCCCATGCGCTCTGAAGAAGGGCCGTGGCCTGAAACGTTGCAGATTTTTCCTTTATTCTTCTGAAGGCCACGGTGTTGTTGAAGAGTGTGAGGTGTTTTTTGTTGTTGTTGTTGTTCACTGTGCTTGTGTACCACTGCCGACGAAGCGGCAGCATCACCTAATCATTTGTCCTGCCAAGGGTGTTTGTCGCATGCCAATCGTTGCTACGAGGCGGAATTAATTGTAAATAAAAATGTAACACGATGGAGCGTTTACGCCGACTCATTAGTCACTGCGCAGAGCCTCCAACTCGCTGCACTTGAGAACCCACTTTAATTGCGGGCGGCTGCCGGGATTCGAACCTAGGATCGCATCTGTGCCATCACAGTGCTCCGTCACTTCTCGAGCCACCCAGCAATCTTCTTCCCCCCTCCCCCCCTCCCCCTCCCCCCCATGGCTATTTTGATCACAGAGACAGACGAACGTTTTTTGACTTTCGACTATTTTGGCAGCCCGGCGGGTTTGCGAGTCTTCATAGCCCGTTGGGATTCCTGCGTGGCTCCGCCTGGTCAATCGTGAAAGCGCTTGCCTACATATGTACACCGCTCTTAGGCCTCCGCTGTAGGGTGGGGTAGCTCCAGCACTGGCTCAGGGCCGCCAGCGGTGGCGAGATGTTCACTACGTCGCCTGGTGTGCAGGAGGGCGTGGGTTCGATCCCGACTCCGATGCCTGCCGCTGTATATTTTGGAGTTTGCGTGTTCTCCCCGTGGTTGCGTGGATTTTTTTCTGGGTCCTCCGGTTTTTGCCAACACATTTCTAAACAATCATTGACTGATATAATACATTTCTACGTGAAAAGCCACTTCCTTGAGCTGTCATGTTTGACTGCCAAGTCGCTTCTGAACAAAAGAGCTACAAAGCACAGTGGTCCTTAACTGGTGATTAAAAAAAAAAAGTAAAAACTGAGATCAGAATTTCCCCACACTCGTATGAGACACCAACTTTGAGAGAAGCGAAGTTCCCGATCGTGAGATCGTGAGCTCGTTAGGCGGGTGCATGGCTCGGAGGTAATCCCAGCACCGCGCCGGCATCGCCGAGATGATGTGTCCAAATACAGGCAGGCGCTTGCGATGAATCTGGGTTCTCAGGCGTAGGGAAGTGATGGTCTCGGTGTGGTTGCAAGTGACTGTACAAAAATCTGTCACGTTAAATTTGGTTTTCAATTTCAGCTCTGAGAATAAAACAAATATCGGTTTGGCTGTCATGTGACGAACAATTTCTGGTCATGGGCAGAGCGAGTGGGAATGTGCTGTACCATACTGTTTGAAGGGCTTTCAGGGGTAGCTCTGTGGTATATAATTCCGTGGGCCATTCTTTAACAAAAAGGTTTGCGCTGCGACTTGAAGTATCTGATCGGATCTTTCATCTCATTAGCACGGTTGGATACCCATGATGCAAAAGAAGTTCAACATACATACAGTTGTGGAAAATTACAACCAAAATATACGCAGATTCTAAGACCATATCCTGGAGAGAGTGAAATCCGCTGAGGCACCAGCATCGGTGTCCGATTCCTCATCGCCTTCATCTCCACGTGGTTGGCAAATGACCACCACTCGGTGAGGCAGCGCCACCTCACCCGAAGGGCGCGGTAGCCTCTCCCGCCGCAGGAGAGGCGACATGGCGAGCAAACGAACTGACGGGCGATTGAACGCTCGGCCTCGCAGGAATCGCCGCCGACATGGGCTGTGCCAAGAGCAAGGACGGCGACGAGTCGCCGGCCGCGGACTGCCGGCAAGACGCGCACGGCGGCAACGAGCGCTGCCGCTACGGCGCGGGCAACGCCTACATCGTGCAGAACAGCTGCGCCGTCCCGCAGATGTCGAGCCCCGGCACTTACCAGGGCGCCAACATCTCGTGCCCCACGCAGCCCAGCGGAATGATGATGGGCGGCTCCATGGTGCCCTTCACGGGCACGCTGACCAGCCAGCGCAGCCACTACCAAGGTGAGCGGTGCCGGGCGGCACGGGCGGTGACGGGCGGCCTTCCTGGGGGCTCGAGGCGGATTCGCGTCCATCTGTCGAGGGTAGCGGATCTGGTCATCGAGCGAGCGAGCGAGTCAGTCGCTTGACCACGCCTGCCCTGACGATGATGTTCACTTCGTCACAGAGCCAGTTCGGGTACCATGGAGACCAGCTGTCATCATGGAGGTTATTCTGGCGCCACGGTGGCTAGGAGATGTTAACTACCTCGCCTGGTGTACAGGAGGCCGTGGGTTCGATCCCGACCCTAACGACGCCTCCTGCTGTATATTTGGAGTCTGCGTGTTCTCCCCATGGGCGCGTAGATTTTTCTCTGGGTCCTCCGGTTTCCTCCCCCCCCCCCCCCCCCCCACGTTTAGAAACAAGTGTTGAGATCGTTTAGCTGCAATACATTTCCACGTGATACGCCACTTAGTTGAGCTATCGTTTGTGGCCAGGTCGCTTCTGAAAAAAGAGCCATGCAGCTCAGTGGGGCCTTACCTGGTAAGATAAAAAAAAACGTGTAGTTCATGATGCGTTGTTCCTTTGATGAGGCTTTGTTTTTCCATGACAGCCGAGGTCATGCGGTCATCACAGCCAAATGCCATTGATGCCACTGCACCCCAACAATCGCCATATCCCCCAGCTGTTGCGCGATCTGTAGCTGGCCATCGTGGTCTGCTGTCGTAGTTGCGTTGCCGCCAATCTGGATTTAGGCCTGGTGCTAAAGCCCAGGTGGCTCAAATAAATAACGTTCATGAAGCTATCAAGATCCGGCCGAGTGGTGCTGCGATCTTGTCTGTCCCGTCGCAAGTTCGGCGTTCAACTCGGGCAATCGTCCACCCACCCAGGGTCGATTAAACGAGTGATAATTTATGGGAAGCCGTCCGTGGTCGTCCCGTCGATATGCTGCTCCCCGGGCATGGGATCGTGGAATCTCCAACATCGACCCCAGGATCACGAGTGGAGATTAGAGCTTATAAATGCGTCACCGAGGAAAGGAATTGTTCCGCGCAGGAATTCTGGCTGTGGAAATTGCACGCGCAGCTCATCGCATGTCCATCTCTTGCCTCCGCGCTTACACAGCCGTTACTCACAAACGAAACGGGCGCAAAATACCAGGGTGACTTTCCGTTATTCATCACTGCGAGGTGTTCTTAACGAACAAGCGGGTGTGGTGTGCAGGTCCAAATGTAGATCCGCTGCAATGGGTTTTTTTTACACCTGTATTTTGAATGTACGTCAAGGTGATCTGTGCCTTGTCTGAACAGGTGACGACCTCGGCATTTAAATGTCAACTATTGCGGACAAGGTGTTTGGTAGCGACTTTGCAGCGGTACTAGATTTAAAGCTTTCGTGACTGCAAGGATCCATACTCTTTGGTTCTATTCGGTAAAGTCACGTAGTAGGTAAAAAATAAAACAACAAAAATCACGGCGTTTCGGCCACAACACAAGCGGTTGATTATGGCGTCCGTGTGTAGCACAGAGGACGCAGGGAAAGGTCGTAATCGTTTGTACGTTCTTATTTTAACCACGTGGTATTCCTCAGAGCTGTTCACGTGTATTTTGCTGTAGGATTTTGAGTTTATTCTGATAGGTTGATTTGAAGCTTTCGTGACTGCAGGAATCCATACTCTTTGGTTCTTTCGGTTAAGTCACGTAGTAGGTGTAAAATAAAATAAATCACGACGGACGCTTGTGTTGCCCCCGAAACGCCGTGATTTATTTGATTTTATACCTACGTGTTTTTATTCTGATATCTTACGACGGATCATCCCGTTGTGCCGGCTGCTCGCCCGGTGACAGAACCTGCACTCAGCCTCTCACTCGGGCTGATTCGGTGCCGGAAATGAGTCCGTGATGTGTGACGAGAACACTGGGGGGAGATGGAAGATTCCAGCGCGTGCTGCTGCTGCTGCTGCTGACTGCACCGTACGTGTGTGCACCATGCTAGCCTTAATTTTTTTTAGTTTCATTTGATCCGTTGCAACCGATGGGCCGGTTTTGCCCGGCTATTTTACACCCCGGGGGGAGATCCGTGGTTGCAGCGAGCGCAGCAGTGACAACAACAAAACCAAAAAAAAGACAAAAATATTTCAACATTGCCGACAACGAGTGCAGGGTCCCTGAGGAATAGCGTACGGCTGGCAGGCGAGGTGTTTAACGGTCGTTTCAAGTTTCAAGTTTCATTTATTTAGGTATAGCCCTGTGAGCCATGCGGCTCTTAAGTTGGGTGCAACCGCAACAAACAAAATTTGAACGCAGAAACATCTTAAAGCGACAACGCGTAACAGAGACATCCTGGAATAAACCAGCAAATATTCCACACACAAACACAAACGTATTAAAACGCTGTGTGCAAAAATCAGTGTGGCGAATCAAGAGAAACAACGGCGGTGACGTAATATGATCGTGAGAGGCGCCAGAAAGTGTGAGGTGTTCGGCTGCAGGTGAGCACTGCACGTTGGTTTTAATAGGGAAGTCGAGAGGGAGAGTGAAGGGAGGGAACCAAGCTGAAAATGAGCTGCGAGGACATTCTAAAACAAAACGTGGAGCGGCAACGCGGAGAGTCTTTTCACCGAACAAAGTTTTTTGGCCAGTGGAATTTTTCGTAGATATGCGGAGGCACCGCTACCAGAGCATGTTTTTGTTTGCATGTGCACCGCAAGCACTGTTTGTGGTTGATACAGACATGAGTCCTTGAAAAACGGTTTCCGTTTGGTGTTTTAACATCTTAACACCTGTTTTATTGCCATGAAGGGTTAAACCTATTCTTATACGTGGGCACTTTTGTTTGTTGAAAACAGTTGGTGAAGCTGCTTCAATAATGGCATTATGTTTCGATTTAAAGCTTTCGTGACTGCAAGGATTCATCTTCTTTGGTTCTTTCGGTAAAGTCACGTAGAATGAGAATAAAGTAATAAATTGATAAAATAAAATAACACAATAATATTCTCATGACGTTTCGGCCACAACACAAGCGGCCTTCATCAGGTGAAGGGACGAGACTGTCTGAAGGACAGCCGCTTGTGTTGTGGCCGAAACGTCGTGAGAATATTATTGTGTTATTTTATTTTATCAATTTATTATTTTATTCTCATTCTACGTGACTTTACCGAAAGAACCAAAGAAGATAATGGCATTATGGCCATTGGTGCCACTATTATCATCATCATCTTCATCAACAACATTCTAATCTGTATCCCATAGGTTTGGCAAGGATGGCACCAATTGGGGGAGAAGTCGGCACTTATTTTCCCATTACTGGAACTGGTCCCATGAAATAAATTCGGAATGTTTCCACCACTGGCTCGGCATTCACAATGGGAATGAGCACCACCCAAGGACTCGTTTGAGTGTGGCGATGCTTTCGCTGTGTTAATGATCAACATTGGATGTGCGGCCGCAATACTGAAAATTAAAACTAGGATTTTTTCCTTTACATTTCTAAAAATTCAAAGTATCCCTCTGATCACTGCAGAGAGGGACGTGCGGTTAGTATTCATTTGTTTAAGCAGCCCTTGCCTGTGCTGAAAATTCTGCAATTCCTTTGTAGGTGATCAGTCTGCTCATGAAACAACCACAACGGACTTCTCAGAAAGTATTGCTCACTTTATTTTATGGACTCGCAAGGAATGATGGCACTGTGTAACACATTGTTTGTCTTGATCCCCGACAGGCATGCCGAAATATGCCTTGTAGGCCTCACACATCTTAGCAGATGCTTCCACAGACATAGCAAAATGCGTCTGCCGGATGCTTGCAGCCTCTTGATGCCATCTCAGAAAAATGCAGATGTGCGTCCACTTATGCAGCTGGAACTAAACTGAACTAGTGGGCTTAAGGCCCCTCTATTTATACTACTATTTATATTACTGGAAAGTTCTAGAATGTCCTAGAAGTTACTCCAAGTTTACTCAGCACTGAATCTATCTGGAATGTTCTGGAAAATAGGTAAATTTCTAAATATCACTATCCTGGTCACAAAAGCAAAGTTTGTGGGGAATAATACCCATTTTCGATACTTTTTAGGCATAAGCAATTACGAAATAACACTACCCCGGAACAACAAAAAATGTGTTACGCAGTGTTATCATTCCTTCCGAGTCCATAAAATAAAGCGAGCACCACTTTGTGAGAAGTCCGTTCTGGTTGTTTTGTGAGCAGACTTATCACCCAGGAGCAAAAATTGTGTTACATAGTGTAATATAAGTATGACTGTCGAGGATTTTATCCAACGGTCATCCTTTGGGTGCCAATGTGGTGAGATGTTATTTTCCTTGCCTGGTATACAGGAGGCGATGGGTTTGATCCCAACCCATACTCCTGTATATTTGGAGTTTATGTGTTCTCCCCATGGGCACGTGGATTTTTCTCCGGGTCCTCCGGTTTTTCCCTCCACGTTTGGAAACGTGCATGGAGAGTATTTGGCTGCTATACATGTCCACACGATAAGTCACTTCGTTGAGCTATCATTTATGGCCAGGTCGCTTCCGAAAGAGAGCTACATAGCTCAGTGGGTTTTACCTGGTAACTGAAAAATAGTTTAGTTTAGATAATAATTAGTGTTGCATGTGATGAGAAATCAAATAAAACCCACGCGTGCACAGGAATACCAATTACAATCCATGCGGAACCCACTTGCTGTCCTGCCATCGACCGGCCACCCCCTCACACCCCAGCAAGTCTCACAGCATTCGATGATGTCTGCGTGGTCCACCAATCCCTGCCGCCAAAAAGCGCTGGATGACATGCGTGCGCCTCCGTGTCGGACAGCAGGCAGAACATGCCAATTAATAGCTCAGTGGGCCTGACCTGGCAAAATGAAAAAAAAAAATCGTTTAAAATGGGGAAACATGGAGGTGGCCTGGTGGCCCAGAGGTCAAAGTGCTGAGCTGGCACTGCTGAGATCCCACGTTCTCAAGTGTAGAGTTTGTGGCCCTCAGCCTGCTCACCACTGACTGAACAACAATAGGAAAAAAAATCCATCGCAGTAAAATTGTAACTTGGTTCCGCATTTAATTTGACTAAATTGCAGTTCGCTTGAGAATTCAAAAGCATTGCTTTCGCTGTCGTGGGTTAAACTTTATTCTCTGTGGCAGCGTGGGTGGTAAAGTTCGGCCGCCTACTGCGTGGAACAGAGGGCACTTAAATGGATTTCAGATATTTACTTCGGCGGGCATTAAATTTACACGGAGGGTTGTACCACTCTTTGAGAGATGCGAATGGGTCATTCATCCCATTACGTGGCGGATAACACAATGATGATAATTATGGGCAAAAAAGATTGCGAGGCACGTTTTAACTACAGCATGAATCAGCTGTGTGTGTATATATGTCAATATGCCACACCTGCCTTCTAATTGTGAGACCCGTGTCTGTGTGCTCCGACAGAGGGAGTCACGTTCTTCGTGGCCCTGTTCGACTACAGCGCGAGGACCCCTGAGGACCTGAGTTTCAAGAAGGGCGAGAAATTTCAAATAATCAACTCGTGAGTGAGAGTTCTCTTCATCTGAACCGCACGATGTTATGAATTTATATTTTTTTAAAGACGGTTGCATAATGAATGACTTTTGCTTAATGAATTTCACCAGCCAAGCAGCAGCTAAAGGGACTATTATAGATTTGAAGTTTTCGTGACCGCAAGGATCCATACTCTTTGGTTCTTTCGGTTAAGTCACGTAGGTGAAAAAATAATAAATAATAATAAAATAAATTGAATCACGATGTTTCGATTGCAACACAAGCAATCATCATCAGGTGTGACAACCACAGCAAGAAAATGTTTTTACTGAAGTGGTAGAGAAGCCAGGGTTAGGGCAGTTATTTAGCTTCTCTCCCACTTCAATAAAAAAATGTCTTGCTGTGGTTGTCACACCTGATGATGATTGCTTGTGTTGCAATCGAAACGTCGTTATTTAATTTTTTTTATTTTTTATTATTTTTTTCCACCTACTTGACCTTACAGAAAGAACCTAAACCCACTACACAACTCTGAATTTCACACTTGCTATTTCGGAAATGTGAATCTATTGTCATTTGTTTGGGGAGGCAATAGGCTGCGGATGAAGGTGTTGCATCTCTTGGGAATCAGATTGCGCCAAAATCTCAAACCGCCCTCCATCGCCTCTCATCTCAATCATTCCAGCTGTAGTTTTCTGTTCCCATCCGACCAAGGTCGTCATTTCACGCACTTACAAGTTATACAGTTTACCGGTGTAAATGTATCACGTGTGTGTTCTGTCGGTTAGCTCGCGTGTCAAAGTGTGCCCCGCACGTGGATCCAGGCTCACCGCATCGTGTGTGTTGTGTGTGTGTGTCCATTCATTGGGCGCGTTTGTGTGTTCCCGTGCTCATGTTTCTTTTGCACGGTTATAACAAATGAAGGCTCACATAGGGCACTGGGCTTGGGAGGTGTTTTTTCATCTTGGTCTCAGACTTCTTTTTTCAAAATAATTTCTTTTCCACGACGTTATCCCAATTGCTCTGTCCGCCTCGTGGGGCAAAAAAGTAGCCATCGGGACCCCGTGCAGGTACACGCAACCGCTTCCGTTTTGTTGGGAACAGCCTGCAGAAGTGGGCACCACAGACAGAGCTTCACCTCTTGAGATCCGTTCAAGCGACCTCGATTCCAAGCAGTAGAGAGGGCAGCGGTTAGCCCACCTTTTCTGTGCCACGAAGGGTAATGTTTGTCACATGGCAGTTAAACTAATAATTCTCAAAACATGTATATAGCTGAACTATGCACTCGACTTAGTTTAATGTGATAGAATGCTGTGCAGCCATTGGTCACTTGGCTGAAACCATCAACTCGGCGCACTTTGGAACCCAGTTTCATCAAAACCGAGGCTCAGCCCAGTGCTCTGACCTCTGAGCCACCCCGGCCACCTTGATTTTCTTTTGAATATTCTCACTTTAATGTGAGTCCCGTTTCTACTTTATTTGATGCTGCGTTCACTCTGACCGTGGTTTCGCCAAACATTTTGTTATTCGGCCAGAGCAGAAAACAACACCCAACACACAGACACACACCCAATACACACACGCACACCCAACACACAGACGCACACCCAACAAACAGACGCACACCCAACACACAAACGCACACCCAACACACAGACGCACACCCAACACACAGACACACACCCAACACACAGACGCACACCCAACACACAGACGCACACCCAACACACAGACGCACACCCAACACACAGACACACACCCAACACACAGACACACACCCAACACACAGACGCACACCCAACACACAGACGCACACCCAACACACAGACACACACCCAACACACACTAAACAATATTCGGAGCCTGCACAGTTTTCTGTACTCGGGCCCCTGGGTTTGACACCAATCATTACAATGTATGCCCTGAAATGTGTAAACATCAGCATGCCGTGCAGGCCTAAGTGGGTTCATGCTAACGGCACTCATCCCAGCATTATATATGGCTACACGGGGGATATTTGTCTTTTTGGTTCAGGGAATGGGGAGTGGTTGTTCGGTGCTAGTCGCGCTGCGCTACAAGCCCGGCGATCTGCGTTAGATTCCTGCTCACAGCCAACATCGTTGACTAATATCTGAACCGTTCCTGGGCATCTTCCAGGTCGACTCAGCCTCACATGAGCACCTAATGCGGTGCGTAAACACCGCCATCGGCGGGCGGGTGCCGTGCCGGCCTTCATTGGTGCTGCTCGCCAACAGCACTTGCCCCAGGAGTCTGTGAGTGGCTCTAGGGGGGGAACTTTGTCCGCGTCTTTGTGGTGCAGGGACGATGACTGGTGGACGGCCAGCTCGCTATCGTCCGGCCTCACCGGGTACATCCCCAGCAACTACGTCGCTCCTGCGGGATCCGTGCAGGCCAAGGAGTGAGCACCAAGCGCAGCGCAAGCGCAGCACACACACAGCACACACGCAGCACACACACAGCACACACACAGCACACACAGCACACACACACAGCACACACAGCACACACACACAGCACACACAGCACACAGCACACAGCGCACACGCAGCACACACAGCACACACACAGCACACACAGCACACACAGCACACAGCACACACATCACACACACATCACACACAGCACACACAGCACACACAGCACACACACAGCACACACAGCACACACATCAGACACACAGCGCACACACAGCACACACAGCACACACACACACAGCACACACAGCACACACACAGCACACACACAGCACACACACACATCACACACAGCACACACAGCACACACACACACAGCACGCACACAGCACACACAGCACACACAAACACAGCACACACACAGCACACACATCACACACACACCACACACGCAGCACACACACAGCACACGCAACACACACAGCACACACACAGCACACACACATCACACACACAGCACACACACAGCACACGCAGCACACACAGCACACACACACACAGCACACACACAGCACACACAGCACACACACAGCACACACACATCACACACACAGCACACACAGCACACACACATCACACACAGCACACACATCACACACAGCACACACACATCACACACAGCACACACAGCACACACAGCACACACACATCACACACACAGCACACACAGCACACACAGCACACACACAGCACACACACACACACAGCACACACACAGCACACACACAGTACACACACACAGCACACACAGCACGTGCGCGCCGGTCACACAGCACCTGCGTAGCAACCAGCGTGCCCGGCAGGCGCTTGCCGCAGGCACCCCGTGCACCACTGTGCACAGAGCAATACCACGTGGTGCACAGAGCGTGCAGGCAGCATGCGGTGTGGATGTATCGGTAGCAACAGCGCGCAGTGTGCATACATCGATAGCGTGCGGTGAGTGTGTACCGACGGCAATGTCAAGCGGCGTTGGATGTAACGGTAGCGATAGCAGTGTGCACCAACGATAGCGCATAGCACACACAGCAGCCGCCCAACGGCGACGATTGGTGAAGAGCAACGTGGGGGGGTGGGGGGAGCGTGGCGCGACGCCGCTGTGCCATTGAGTCCGTGCACCCCACCTCCTTACGCCGATCTCGGCGCCGCTGTCCCCGCAAGGTGGTTCTTCGGCAAGCTGACGAGGAAGGACGCCGATCGCTGTCTCATGGACCCCGCGAACCCCATCGGGACGTTCCTCATCCGCGAGAGCGAGACCACTCAAGGTGAGGACGTGGGCGAATTGGCGTCTGGAGCCTGGGACCTGCGACCGTGCTCCCCCTGCACGTGCGTGTTGTGTGGAGGGCGGGCTCTGCCTCTCTCTCCACTCGGTCCTTTGTCCCTGGTCGCCTCCACGCCCTCGTTCGCAGTGGACGAGATGTTACCTCCCTCGCCCGGTGTGCAGGAGGTCGTTGGTTCGATCCCGACCCTGACGATGCCCGCTGTGTAGTTGGGGGGCTGCGTGTTCTCCCCAGTGGTCGGGTGGATTTTTCTCCGGGTCTTCCGGTTTTTCCCACCACATTGAGAAACCTTCGTTTAGAGGATTTGACTGCTTTAGATTTTACGCGTGATAGGCCACTTCGTTGAGCTATCATTTGTGGACAGGTCGCTTCTGAAAAAGAGCTACATAGCTCAGTGGGCCTTACCTGGTAAAATAAAAATTTGTTTAGATTATTTGAGTCTAGTCCACCATGATTATAAATGTGGAGGCGTAGAAATTCGACGCAACCACGGGGAGAACACGCAGACTCCGAATATGCAGGCATCGAATCCACGACCTCCTGCATACCAGGCGAGGTCGTTAACATCTCGCCACCGCGGCAGTGGTAGCACCGGTAACTTTAAAAAAGACTACCGTTCGTGTCGTGATGCGGTTTCCGCGCAGGCCGCTGATGTTTGCTCATTTTGCAGGAGCCTACTCGCTCTCCATCCGGGACTACGATCCCGTCAAGGGAGACACCGTGAAGCACTACAAGATCCGGAGGCTGGACTCTGGCGGCTTCTACATCACCAACCGGATCCACTTTGCCCACATTCACCAGCTGGTGGAACACTACGCCAGTAAGCTCTTGCACGCCGGCGCTAGCAGCGCACCGAGCCGGCATCGCCAATATATATATACACATCCACAGCTGTCAAGCCCTTAGCAGTGCCCTACCTTATTACAGACCAACTCAGACCTTATTGGTCGCCCCCGTGCCCCTTATAAATCGCAACGTTCATCCTGCAAAGTCCCATCGCAAGGGAGAAACACAAACAAATGGACAAACAAAAAAGTGTTTTTTCCCGTATTGCAACGGCTGTACGCCTCATGGCACTGAAAACTCAATTTTCCTTTGCAAGAATACGAGTGAACCGCATGGGTTGACAGGTGTGTATATACCGGAGTTCAGTGCTGGGTTTTGGTTACCCGTGGTTAAAATCCCGGTTCCCTAGCACAGTGAGTTGATGCTCCTTTCGCTTGATCGCTACATTCAACAAGTTTGGGAAGAATGAGGCACATGCGTAGATCATGCGAAGGCTTTTATCACGTGCGTTTGTCCTCGGTGTGTAATGATTTGTATTTGAAGCCGATGTGCGGAAAAATGCGGTTGTGCCTTTGCAAAGGAAGTCCTTTTTTGTCCCTGGTTTCTGTCTCAAATTGGGAAAGTGCCCAAGTGTATTTCACATTGGCACGTCTTTGCGAGTGTTCCCGTGATATTTCCCCCGGTTTCTTCTACCCTTAGAAGTGGCAGGATTAGAACTCATGACTTTACCCCCCTTCCCCTCCCCTCCCCCCTCTCTTTATCCTATGAGGTTAGTGATCATTCTCCTCATTCTCCCCTCCCCGCATCATCTTTCTTGTTATATTCTTAGTTTTTTCGGTAAAGTCATGTTGAAGAGAAACAACAAAATAATAAAATATATATAAAACAATAAAAAATTCTCACGACGTTTCGACCATAACTCAAACGGTCATCTTCAGGTGTGTTGGTTCGCATAAATTTATTTGTAAACGGCGTATTTATTTATTTATTAAACAAAAAACGTTAGCGCCACGTGCAGCGATTTGGCAGTTTACCCAGGACTAGTCCATCTATATTCTGAAAAGAGGAGGGGGGAGACAACATTTTTTTATAATGTATGCTGTCTAAAGCCACTGTAAGCGTGAACAATCAATTAAGACCTGAAATGGTTTATCAAATCTTTCCAATGATTGCTAAGATATAATCCATCTTCTCGGTTGAAATTGTCTCTGTGCTTGTATATGTGGATAGCCTCATGAACGAATCTCTCATGGAAGCCAGATGGCTTACAAAGAACCTCTGTCTTGGAAAAGTCAATGGCATGTGAGCCTACTGAATTAGAACAATGATCTGCCACGGCCGAGGTGTTGGTCCTACCGTGTTTAAGGTCTGTTTTGTGTTCACGAATGCGGTCCGAGACATGGCATTTGGTTTCTCCAATGTAACTACTACCACAGAGGCAACTTAGTTTGTAGACACCAGGGTATTGTATGTCCGGAATCACATCTTTTACAGACGGAACCAGATCACGGATTTTATGTAATGTGTTGAAACGGACCTGGATCTTGTGTTTATTCAAGATTTTGGAGATCTTTTTTGTGATAGTTATACAAAAATAAAAAGAGATCCCACCAACAGCCTCGTCACACAAACCAACAAAATAATTTCTGATTCAACCGCATTAATTGATCAATCTAAACAGTTTTCGTTGAAACCTTCTGCTGCCAGGCGACCAAGATTATACGGCTTACCAAAAATACATAAAGTAGATACACCCCTTCGTCCCATAGTCTCTACTATCGGCTCCCCCACCTACAAACTAGCTCGTTTTTTGTCTGAAATCCTGCGTCCTTTCACTGGAAAGACCACCTCTGCGGTACAAAATTCTACTCACCTGGTATCGGCAATCAAGGGTATTTCCCTGTCCCCAGACGACCTGCTTGTCAGTTTTGATGTAGTTTCCTTATTCACCAAGGTTCCTGTACCTGACACCATTGCAACCATTGAAGACTTGGTTCATCAAGGACTAAACACTGAGGTGCCCCCCCTGGTGAGACACTGTTTAACGAATACATACTTCACTTGGAATGGAACTTTCTACAAACAAACTGAGGGCACCCCAATGGGCTCCCCCCTTTCTCCAGTTATAGCTAACATTTTCATGGAGAAATTTGAGACTGACGCCATCCAGACTGCCACTCTGCGCCCAACCTTATGGAAGAGGTACGTGGATGACACTTTTGTCATCTGGCCACATGGCCGGCCTGCTCTAGACCAATTCTTCGACCACATCAATTCCATACACCCAGCCATCAGATTTACCATGGAAGTCGAAATAGATGGCAAGATACCTTTTTTGGATGTCCTAATTAAAAAGAGACCTGATGGTTCAATGAGCCACTCTGTCTACAGGAAAGCTACCCATACGGATGCTTATCTGAAACCGGATTCCCACCACCATCCATCACAGAAGAATTCTCTCATCAAGACTCTTTATCATAGAGCCCAATGCATATCCGACCAGGAACACATAAGCAGTGAACTCAAGCACGTACACCAAGCTCTTAGGGCTAATGGTTACTCCGACTATACAATCCGCAAAGCTATCACTCAAACCATGAAGAAGAACCCTCTTGAGGAGCCTTTCAAAACCATCACTTTACCCTACATTGCTGGGATCACAAAAAAGATCTCCAAAATCTTGAATAAACACAAGATCCAGGTCTGTTTCAACACATTACATAAAATCCGTGATCTGGTTCCGTCTGTAAAAGATGTGATTCCGGACATACAATACCCTGGTGTCTACAAACTAAGTTGCCTCTGTGGTAGTAGTTACATTGGAGAAACCAAACGCCATGTCTCGGACCGCATTCGTGAACACAAAGCAGACCTTAAACACGGTAGGACCAACACCTCGGCCGTGGCAGATCATTGTTCTAATTCAGTAGGCTCACATGCCATTGACTTTTCCAAGACAGAGGTTCTTTGTAAGCCATCTGGCTTCCATGAGAGATTCGTTCATGAGGCTATCCACATATACAAGCACAGAGACAATTTCAACCGAGAAGATGGATTCTATCTTAGCAATCATTGGAAAGATTTGATAAACCATTTCAGGTCTTAATTGATTGTTCAAGCTTACAGTGGCTTTAGACAGCATACATTATAAAAATGTTGTCTCCCCCCTCCTCTTTTCAGAATATAGATGGACTAGTCCTAAATAAACTGCCAAATCGTTGCGCGTGGCGCTAACGGTTTTTTTAAATAAATAAATAAATGCGCCGTTTTAAAATAAATTTATGCGAACCAACACACCTGAAGACGACCGTTTGAGTTATGGACGAAACGTCGTGAGAATTTTTTATTGTTTTATATATATTTTATTATTTTGTTGTTTCTCTTCAACGTGACTTTACCGAAAAAACTAAGAATATGAATTACTGCAGTCACGAAAGCTTTAAATCAAAATCTTTCTTGTTGTCGCATGCGGTCAGAATTTCCCCCTTCGTTCGGCCCTGGCGCCCCGATCCCGTGCTTTTCCTCGCGGTCTTCCCGCTGCTCCTCTTCTGTATTGTGATCGGTAGCTTTGCACTGGGCACGTGTCGACTCCCGAAAAATAAACACAAATTTACTCGCGACTTTCCTGCTCAAAGGGCAGTGCACCCCGCCCCCCCCCCGCCCTCTCCCGACCGGAGGACGAATGGACGGCATTAACGGGCGCTCCGTGTGCGTGCCCTGCAGATGTGGCGGACGGGCTATGCGGGAGGCTCGTCAAGCCCTGCCCTGTCTTCGTGCCGCAGACTCAGGGCCTGTCGAAGGACGCGTGGGAGATCTTGCGCGAGTCGCTCACGCTCGACGTCAAGCTCGGCTCCGGCTGCTTTGGCGATGTGTGGCTTGGTGAGTTTGTGCTCGAGCGTCTGTCCGTGTGTGCTTGCGTGTGTGTGTGCGTGTGTGTGTGTGCGTGTGTGTGTGTGCGCGCGTGTGTGTGTGCGTGTGTATGTATGTGTGTGTGTGTGCGTGTGTATGTGTGAGTGTGTGTGAGCGTGTGTGTGTGTGCTTGCGTGTGTGTGTGTGTGCGTGTGTGTGTGTGTACGTGTGCGCGTGCGTGTGTGTGTGTGCGTGTGTGTGTGCGTGTGTGTGTGCGTGTGTGTGCGTGCGTGCGTGTGTGTGCGTGCGTGTGTGCGTGCGTGTGTGTGTGCGTGCGTGTGTGTGTGCGTGTGTGAGTGTGTGCGTGCGTGTGTGTGTGCGTGCGTGTGTGTGTGTTTGCGTGTGTGCGTGTGTGCGCGTGTGTGCGCGTGTGTACGTGCGTGTGTGTGTGCGTGCGTGTGTGTGTGCGTGTGTGCGTGCGCGTGTGCGTGCGTGTGTGTGAGTGTGCGGTGTGTAGTAAACGTCGCTACTGGGGAGACAAAGGCGGTCGGGCTTGGGGACCTGGCCACCCACCCCCTCGTGTAGCGTTACGGCCTTCATAGGTGCTCGCTAACGGCACTTGCCCCTACAGTCTGTCTAGGCTATACGGGGGATCTTTGTCTTTGCAATTGTGTGTGTGTGCCTAGAAGCGGTAGTGCAGTGGTTAGCGCGCTTCGCAATGACCCACGAGGACACGAGTTCAATTCCCGCTAACGGCCAACACCAGTGACGAGTATCTGAACTGGTCCTGGTTGCCCCCTAGGTTGACTCAGCCTCAAATAAGTACCTCATGCGGTGTGTAAACATCGCCAATGGGGAGACAAAGGCTGTCGGGCGTGGTCCTGGCGACCCACCCCTTCGTGTGCCGTACCGGACTTCATAGGTGCTCGCCAACGGCACTTGCCCCAACAGTTTGTTAGGACTATACGGGGGGATATTTATCTCTGCTTTTGGTGTGGTGCAGTGGTAAGCGCACGATTCCCGCCGACCAGAGTTTGATTCCCACTCGCAACCAATTACTGGCAAAATATTTTAACTGGTCCTGGACCTCCCCCTAGGTACGCTGATGTGGAAACATCAGCGTTGGAGAGGCATAGGTGGCCAGGTGTGGTGCTGGCCACCCAACCCCTCGTGCGAATGTGCCGGCTTTCATACCGCACCAGGTACTCATTTGAGTCTGAGTCGACCTAGGTGGGGCCCAGGACCAGTTCAGATAATCGTCACCGGTGTTGGCCGTGAGCGGGAATCGAACCCGGTGTCGCCGGGTTCGTAGCGCAGCGTAGCGCTGACCGCTCCCCACACACCCCACGCGCACGCGAACGCGCACGTGAACGCGCACGTGAACGCGCACGTGAACGCGCACGTGCGGCGGTCGCTGTCGCCAGGCACGTGGAACGGCTCGACGCAGGTGGCGGTGAAGACGCTGCGCGCCGGCACCATGTCGCCCACGGCCTTCCTGGACGAGGCGCAGGTCATGAAGAAGCTGCGACACGACAAGCTGGTGCAGCTCTACGCCGTGGTGTCGCAGGAGCCCATCTACATCGTCACCGAGTACATGAACAAAGGTGAAGAGCCCCACCACTACGGAATACACTGCACAAAAATTGCATAGGCAGTCATTTTTGTGCCGCGTGACTTTACCGAATAAAACCACAGGAGTGTGAATCCTCGCGGTCACGAAAGCTTCAAATGTAGAGTCATTTTAGCGTCACCCGGCGCGGTCCGCAGCTCCCCCGCATCCCCCGCTAGTGACGCCACTGGTCACATATCCTTTCCCCAACGGTAGTGCAGCCTAAAAAGTGGCCCCCAGTAACTCGTGGTCACAGCAACAAGGGCCTGGGTTTGATTCCCGACTCGGGTGCCTTTCAGTCCGGAGCTTGTATAAAATTCTCCTCTGTTTCTGCGTGGATGTATGACATGGATTGTGACATCACGGAACTGTGAGAGATGGCGATGGCTTGGGGGAGGCCTACATCCAGCAGCTGCTGATGATCGTGCGGATTGCTGTAGATCGATGTTGCTTTGACGGCTGGGGCAAGATAAAACCTGATTATCCTTTGGGTTTTCATCTTCATCTTGGGAAATTACTTGATCAATGTTTGTATTGTGTTCACTGCACATCAGAATCAGAATAGTTATACTGGAGGAATCCGATGAGCTATAAAGCTCTTTTTCACAGATCTCTAGTAGGGGCAGTTAAGAACGTTACAGCAACAAACAATACTAAAACATGATAGCCGTGCCCTTTGGTTATTTCGGTAAAGTCACGTAGGTATAAAATAAAATAAATTAAATCACGACGTTTTGATCGCTGTTGCAGCAGCTCTTTCTCCTACGTCAGCAGTTCAACTGCTGTATCTGTTCCACCCGATGACGGACGCTTGTGTGTGTGCCCGAAACGTCGTGATTTAATTTATTTAAATTTTTACCTACGTGACTTTACCGCAAGAACCAAAGAGTCTGGATCCCAGCAGTCACGAAAAACTTCAAATCTAGAATGATAGCCGTGCAAAGTACAGCAAAGGTAAACAAATTACCGAACAACATACAGGTAAGTCCCCGACTTACAATGGAGATGGTGTTATGACGACCCCATCGTAAGTCGAAAATATCGTAAGCCGAAAATGGCCTAGCCTTCCCAGGAGTCTTAAAGAATGGTGATAATCTAGCAAAACAGAGTAATTTACAGTACCGTACTGTATAAACTATATAGTGTATGTATTTATTAATTTCAATACTCTATTGCACAGTAAAATTTAAAGTAAAAAACAAGGTAAATTCTTAACCTACCTATACAGTGAGGGAAAAAAGTATTTGATCCCCTGCTGATTTTGTACGTTTGCCCACTGACGAAGAAATGTTCAGTCTATAATTTTAATGGTAGGTTTATTTGAACAGTGAGAGACAGAATAACAACCAAAAAATCCAGAAAAACGCATGTCAAAAATGTTATAAATTGATTTGCATTTTAATGAGGGAAATAAGTATTTGACCCCCTCTCAATCAGAAAGATGTCTGGCTCCCAGGTGTCTTTTATACAGGTAACGAGCTGAGATTAGGAGCACACTCTTAAAGGGAGTGCTCCTAATCTCAGCTTGTTACCTGTATAAATGACACCTGTCCACAGAAGCAATCAATCAATCAGATTCAAAACTCTCCACCATGGCCAAGACCAGAGAGCTCTCCAAGGATGTCAGGGACAAGATTGTAGACCTACACAAGGCTGGAATGGGTTACAAGACCATTGCCAAGCAGCTTGGTGAGAAGGTGACAACAGTTGGTGCGATTATTAGCAAATGGAAGAAACACAAAAGAACTGTCATTCTCCCTCGGCCTGGGGCTCCATGCAAGATCTCACCTCGTGGAGTTGCAATGACCATGAGAACGGTGATGAATCAGCCCAGAACTACACGGGAGGATCTTGTCAATGATCTCAAGGCAGCTGGGACCATAGTCACCAAGAAAACAATTGGTAACACACTACGCCGTGAAGGACTGAAATCCTGCAGCGCCCGCAAGGCCCCTCTGCTCAAGAAAGCACATATACATGCCCGTCTTAAGTTTGCCAATGAACATCTGAATGATTCAGAGGACAACTGGGTGAAAGTGTTGTGGTCAGATGAGACAAAAATGGAGCTCTTTGGCATCAACTCAACTCGCCGTGTTAGGAGGAGGAGGAATGCTGCCTATGACCCCAAGAACACCATCCCCACCGTCAAACATGGAGGTGGAAACATGCTTTGGGGGTGTTTTTCTGCTAAGGGGACAGGACAACTTCACCGCATCAAAGGGAGGATGGACGGGGCCATGTACCGTCAAATCTTGGGTGAGAACCTCCTTCCCTCAGCCAGGGCATTGAAAATGGGTCGTGGATGGGTATTCCAGCATGACAATGACCCAAAACACACGGCCAAGGCAACAAAGGAGTAGCTCAAGAAGAAGCACATTAAGGTCCTGGAGTGGCCTATCTAGTCTCCAGACCTTAAACCCATAGAAAATCTGTGGAGGGAGCTGAAGGTTCGAGTTGCCAAACGTCAGCCTCGAAACCTTAATGACTTGGAGAAGATCTGCAAAGAGGAGTGGGACAAAATCCCTCCTGAGATGTGTGCAAACCTGGTGGCCAACTACAAGAAACGTCTGACCTCTGTGATTGTCAACAAGGGTTTTGCACCAAGTACTAAGTCATGTTTTGCAGAGGGGTCAAATACTTATTTCCCTCATTAAAATGCAAATCAATTTATAACATTGGATGTTGTTGTTGTTATTCTGTCTCTCACTGTTCAAATAAACCTACCATTAAAATTATAGACTGATAATTTTTTTGTCAGTGGGAAAACATACAAAAATCAGCAGGGCATCAAATACTTTTTTCCCTCACTGTATGAACTGCAATTTCATAGAAAGTTTTTTCAGGAAACAATCCTATTTGCTCTAAAAACTTTTAACATGCATTGAACGTATGTATCGTATCGTGGTAACTCTAAAATGAAATCGCTAAAGCTATGTATCATACATGCATTGAACGTATCGTAACGTATCATATTCTACTGTAGTCACCAAGATTCTGTCCGTCGTCTGCATATTTGAACGATGTTAGGTTGTTGATGGCTACATTAACTTAGTTGTCGGAAGAGGAGGATGGCGTTGATCAAGTTACAGTATCGTACCTCGTACGCTGCTGCGTTTGCCTGCCGCGCGAAATTAAAAATAGTTTACAATTTTGTCATATATCGTAAGTCGGATCATCGTAAGTCGGGGACTACCTGTACAAATGAAAGTAACCCATCCCCATCCTGTCAACCAAAGCCCACCGAGGTAGTGACTTATTTTTCAGAAGCGACCTCGCCACAAATGATCGCTCGACAAAGTGACTTCTCGTTCGCTAATATACATTCCAGAGCCAAAGATTTGCGCGGCCTCATTCATCGAAGCACTTAATTACGTGAAGGTAGCGCTTAGGGGGATTTCTTTTGGCTGCGATGTTCTCGCGCTAAACATTGTTGTTAGTTCCGACCGCCTTTCACATCGCATTTCGCCAGATGGTTCAGCAGTAGAGCGAGTGGCTCGCGATTGCAAGGTTGCCGAGTTCCAATCCCTGCTTGGGGGTTGACTCAGCCCATCGTCCCTCCTGGGGTTGATATATTGTGCACCACTTCATGGGGAAGTCAACAGTGGTGGTTCCGTGAATAGACTCACACCTGCCATGGGAATGAGGAATATCCACCACTGGCTCAGGGCTGTAAACGGTAGAGTACAGCAGCATCATGCTCATTTGAGCAGCGAATCGTGTTTGACTTGACGGCATGCCTGTGATGTTTGTCTGCCCACAGGATGCCTCCTTGACTTCATCAAGTCTGGGGAAGGGAACATGCTTAAGCTCGTTCAGCTCATGGACATGGCAGCCCAGGCAAGTGCCCTCGTACACCGCGCGTGCGCGCCCTACGCACGCGCGGTCCAGCTTTCGGCCGCTGGTGGAGCGGTCTGGCAGCCCTATTCACTTGCTCGTGGCCAACGTTAATATTCGCTGAATGCAAATTCCAAGAGCTGGGGAGGGCCGTGCCGGCCGGCTCGTGACGTTCACAATGGCCGGGTCAGGGCGCTGAGCCGGAACCCTCCCCTGAGGCACGGGGGGTTGGCGAACCAGCGGCTCCGGAGTCGCGTGCGGCTCCCGTTCGGGTCGACGGGTTCGTAGCGCAGCACGCTAGCCGCTACGCTACCGCCTTGCGTTGCCACAATCGCGCCACCGTGGTGTGTCTCGCGCGACAGCAGCAACAATTAAATGACAGCAGCACTTGCTCCCAACAGTCCGGTGAAGGGCCACGCGGGGGCGTCTTGCGTTGCGCGTGAATGCAGATCGCGTCGGGCATGGCGTACATCGAGAAGATGAACTACGTGCACAGGGATCTGCGCGCCGCCAACATCCTGGTCAAGGACAACCTGGTGTGCAAGATCGCCGACTTCGGCCTCGCCCGCCTCATCGAGGACAACGAGTACTCGGCGCAGCAAGGTGTGAGACCCCCCCCCCCCCCCCGCGGCCCCGCGCCTGCGCAGAGAGTCATCGGGATATTGATTTGTCCTGGAGCAATACGACGAGCTCTGAACCTCTTTCTTTCACAGATGTCGTCCAGTAGTTTTCACAGGTGTCCAGTAGTGTTCACAGATGTCCAGTAATTGTCACAGATGTCCAGCAGTGTTCACAGATGTCCTGTAGTGTTCACAGGTGTCCAGCAGTCTTCACAGATGTCCTGTAGTGTTCACAGATGCCCAGCAGTGTTCACAGATGTCCAGCAGTGTTCACAGATGTCCAGCAGTCTTCACAGCTGTCCTGTAGTGTTCACAGATGTCCTGTAGTGTTCACAGATGTCCAGCAGTGTTAACAGATGTCCAGCAGTGTTCACTGATGTCCTGTAATGTTCACAGATGTCCAGCAGTCTTCACAGATGTCCTGTAGTGTTCACAGGTGTCCAGCAGTGTTCACAGATGTCCAGCCGTCTTCACAGCTGTCCTGTAGTGTTCACAGGTGTCCAGCAGTGTTCACAGATGTCCAGCAGTGTTCACAGGTGTCCAGCAGTCTTCACAGCTGTCCTGTAGTGTTCACAGGTGTCCAGCAGTGTTCACAGATGTCCAGCAGTTTTCACAGCTGTCCAGCAGTGTTCACAGCTGTCCTGTAGTGTTCACAGATGTCCAGCAGTCTTCACAGCTGTCCTGTAGTGTTCACAGATGTCTTTTAGTGTTCACAGATGTCCAGCGGTCTTCACAGCTGTCCTGTAGTGTTCACAGATGTCCAGCAGTCTTCACAGCTGTCCTGTAGTGTTCACAGATGTCCTTTAGTGTTCACAGATGTCCAGCGGTCTTCACAGCTGTCCTGTAGTGTTCACAGATGTCCAGCGGTGTTCACAGATGTCCAGCAGTGTTCACAGGTGTCCAGCAGTGTTCACAGATGTCCTGTAGTCTTCACAGATGTCCTGTAGTGTTCACAGATGTCCAGCAGTCTTCACAGATGTCCAGCAGTCTTCACAGATGTCCTGTAGTGTTCACAGATGTCCAGCAGTCTTCACAGATGTCCTGTAGTGTTCACAGATGTCCAGCAGTCTTCACAGCTGTCCTGTAGTGTTCACAGATGTCCAGCAGTCTTCACAGATGTCCAGCAGTGTTCACAGATGTCCAGTAATTGTCACAGATGTCCAGCAGTGTTCACAGATGTCCAGCAGTCTTCACAGCTGTCCTGTAGTGTTCACAGATGTCCAGCAGTCTTCACAGATGTCCTGTAGTGTTCACAGATGTCCTGTAGTGTTCACAGATGTCCAGCGGTTTTAACAGATGTCCAGTAGTGTTCACAGATGTCCAGCGGTCTTCACAGCTGTCCTGTAGTGTTCACAGATGTCCAGCAGTCTTCTCAGCTGTCCTGTAGTGTTCACAGATGTCCAGTAGTTTTCACAGATGTCCAGCAGTGTTCACATGTGTCCAGCGGTCTTCACAGATGTCCAGCAGTGTTCACAGATGTCCAGCAGTGTTCACTGATGTCCAGCAGTGTTCACAGATGTCCTGTAGTGTTCACAGATGTCCAGCAGTGTTCACAGATGTCCAGTAGCCATCCGAGACACCGGGCTCACGGCACATGGCCCGCAGGGTGACCTGGACTCATGAGAACTTAGCACCATCGACACCTCCACGGTATCAGGGGCGCGTACAGACATTGTACGCTGATCTCGTCAAGGACCATCACCAATCACTCAAACTTCGGTCATTCTCGCAGCAGCGGCTTTTGGCTGGCCATCGAACAAAGACGGTTACCGCATCGCGCGCTTTCAGATGCGCTTCTGCAGCCGTCTGGAACGCTCTTCCTTCCGATATTAGGAAGCCACTGGAGCGATGCACTTTTAAATCTAGATTGAAAATTCGTTTCTTTAAGACTGCTTTTTGTGTTTAGTTTATTGTCCTTCCCCCCGCACCTCCGATTAGCACGGTTGGCTACGTACGGTGCGAAAGACGTTCAACATTCCTACATACACTGTGGGTCGGAACATCCACAGCAATGCATTTAGGATCAAGGCCTCACAGAGTGCTTTTGTAGGTAGTAATACCTCGATATAGGAAATAGATGCGTTCCTTGAGCTTCATTCGTATACTGAAGCTTCGCATGTCGAATAACCTGTAAGAGTACTGTGAGGATGCGTTCCCAGCCATCGTAACTTACCACTTCATGCTATGAACACTTCATAACTTGCCGTTCATATTGTAAACAAAGACAATTGATTTCGATTTAAAGCTTTCGTGACTGCAATGATTCATCTTCTTTGGTTCTTTCGGTAAAGTCACGTAGAATGAGAATAAAATAATAACCTGATGAAGGCCGCTTGTGTTGTGGCCGAAACGTCGTGAGAATATTATTGTGTTATTTTATTTTTCTTAGTTTTTTCGGTAAAGTCACGTTGAAGAGAAACAACAAAATAACAAAATATATATAAAACAATAAAAAATTCTCACGACGTTTCGACCATAACTCAAACGGTCATCATCAGGTGTGTCGGTTTGCATAAATTTATTTTGAAAACGGCATATTTATTTATATATATAAAAATAACGTTTGCGTCACGCGCAGCGATGGCAGTTTGCCAGGACTAGTCCATCTATTTTTTGAAAAGAGGAGGGGGGAGACGAAATTTGTTTTTATGTATGCTGTCTGAAAGGCACTGTAAGCGTGAACAATCAATCAAGAACTGAAATGATTTATCAAATCTTTCCAATGATTGCTAAGATAGAATCCATCTTCTCGGTTGAAATTGTCTCTGTGTTTGTATATGTGGATAGCCTCATGAACGAATCTCTCATGGAAGCCAGATGGCTTACAAAGAACCTCCGTCTTGGAAAAGTCAATGGCATGTGAGCCTACTGAATTAGAACAATGATCTGCTACGGCCGAGGTGTTGGTCCTACCGTGTTTAAGGTCTGCTTTATGTTCACGAATGCGGTCCGAGATATGGCGTTTGGTTTCTCCAATGTAACTACTACCACAGAGGCAACTTAGTTTGTAGACACCAGGGTATTGTATGTCCGGAATCACATCTTTTACAGACGGAACCAGATCACGGATTTTATGTAATGTGTTGAAACGGACCTGGATCTTGTGTTTATTCAAGATTTTGGAGATCTTTTTTGTGATCCCAGCAATGTAGGGTAAAGTGATGGTTTTGAAAGGCTCCTCAAGAGGGTTCTTCTTCATGGTTTGAGTGATAGCTTTGCGGATTGTATAGTCGGAGTAACCATTAGCCCTAAGAGCTTGGTGTACGTGCTTGAGTTCACTGCTTATGTGTTCCTGGTCGGATATGCATTGGGCTCTATGATACAGAGTCTTGATGAGAGAATTCTTCTGTGATGGATGGTGGTGGGAATCCGGTTTCAGATAAGCATCCGTATGGGTAGCTTTCCTGTAGACAGAGTGGCTCATTGAACCATCAGGTCTCTTTTTAATTAGGACATCCAAAAAAGGTATCTTGCCATCTATTTCGACTTCCATGGTAAATCTGATGGCTGGGTGTATGGAATTGATGTGGTCGAAGAATTTGTCTAGAGCAGGCCGGCCATGTGGCCAGATGACAAAAGTGTCATCCACGTACCTCTTCCATAAGGTTGGGCGCAGAGTGGCAGTCTGGATGGCGTCAGTCTCAAATTTCTCCATGAAAATGTTAGCTATAACTGGAGAAAGGGGGGAGCCCATTGGGGTGCCCTCAGTTTGTTTGTAGAAAGTTCCATTCCAAGTGAAGTATGTATTGGTTAAACAGTGTCTCACCAGGGGGGGTACCTCAGTGTTTAGTCCTTGATGAACCAAGTCTTCAATGATTGCAATGGTGTCAGGTACAGGAACCTTGGTGAATAAGGAAACTACATCAAAACTGACAAGCAGGTCGTCTGGGGACAGGGAAATACCCTTGATTGTTGATACCAGGTGAGTAGAATTTTGTACCGCAGAGGTGGTCTTTCCAGTGAAAGGACGCAGGATTTCAGACAAAAAACGAGCTAGTTTGTAGGTGGGGGAGCTGATAGTAGAGACTATGGGACGAAGAGGTGTATCAACTTTATGTATTTTTGGTAAGCCGTATAATCTGGCCACATGGCCGGCCTGCTCTAGACAAATTCTTCGACCACATCAATTCCATACACCCAGCCATCAGATTTACCATGGAAGTCGAAATAGATGGCAAGATACCTTTTTTGGATGTCCTAATTAAAAAGAGACCTGATGGTTCAATGAGCCACTCTGTCTACAGGAAAGCTACCCATACGGATGCTTATCTGAAACCGGATTCCCACCACCATCCATCACAGAAGAATTCTCTCATCAAGACTCTGTATCATAGAGCCCAATGCATATCCGACCAGGAACACATAAGCAGTGAACTCAAGCACGTACACCAAGCTCTTAGGGCTAATGGTTACTCCGACTATACAATCCGCAAAGCTATCACTCAAACCATGAAGAAGAACCCTCTTGAGGAGCCTTTCAAAACCATCACTTTACCCTACATTGCTGGGATCACAAAAAAGATCTCCAAAATCTTGAATAAACACAAGATCCAGGTCCGTTTCAACACATTACATAAAATCCGTGATCTGGTTCCGTCTGTAAAAGATGTGATTCCGGACATACAATACCCTGGTGTCTACAAACTAAGTTGCCTCTGTGGTAGTAGTTACATTGGAGAAACCAAACGCCATATCTCGGACCGCATTCGTGAACATAAAGCAGACCTTAAACACGGTAGGACCAACACCTCGGCCGTAGCAGATCATTGTTCTAATTCAGTAGGCTCACATGCCATTGACTTTTCCAAGACGGAGGTTCTTTGTAAGCCATCTGGCTTCCATGAGAGATTCGTTCATGAGGCTATCCACATATACAAACACAGAGACAATTTCAACCGAGAAGATGGATTCTATCTTAGCAATCATTGGAAAGATTTGATAAATCATTTCAGTTCTTGATTGATTGTTCACGCTTACAGTGCCTTTCAGACAGCATACATAAAAACAAATTTCGTCTCCCCCCTCCTCTTTTCAAAAAATAGATGGACTAGTCCTGGCAAACTGCCATCGTTGCGCGTGACGCAAACGTTATTTTTATATATATAAATAAATATGCCGTTTTCAAAATAAATTTATGCAAACCGACACACCTGATGATGACCGTTTGAGTTATGGTCGAAACGTCGTGAGAATTTTTTATTGTTTTATATATATTTTGTTATTTTGTTGTTTCTCTTCAACGTGACTTTACCGAAAAAACTAAGAATATGAATTACTGCAGTCACGAAAGCTTTAAATCAAAATTTATTTTATTTTATCAATTTATTATTTTATTCTCATTCTACGTGACTTTACCGAAAGAACCAAAGAAGATGAAAGACAATTGATGTTGAAAACAATACAATATTTATGCTGTGAAGGTTTTATATTAATAACTGACGTGGATAAAGAAACGGTATAGAAACGTAAATGTATTATTTATATAGTACCGTAAATCGATTAAATAATTATTATTATTTACATATAAATTGCAGTGTATTTATGTATTATTTCACTACAATTTTTTGCTCTCTGTGTAAAATAATGGTAACAAAAACAACTACAGAGTTCGTGATACCAAAACTTCGCATATCGAATATACGCTTATCTAGGTATTGCTGCACGAGCAATGATCTCTGCAATGCAGATAAACTACTACGACAAAGAGAGTGAAGTCGGCAAACTGAGACGCAGCCAATTAGCTGCCGTTGAAAGTGCGTTTGGGAAACGGGTCACCAAGAGGCGCGATGTAATAATGTACCGAGAATCTTGGCGAGTGCAGCCCGTCGCGTTCCAAGGACGGGCAGCTGGACGAGAAGACGTTATTCATAATAAAGGTGTTTTGTGTTAGATCGCGTTATTTATAAATGTGTCGTAACCCTCCACCACCCGACACGGCCAAACAGTAAAAAAAAGTGTCACGATTTAAAGCTTTCGTGACTGCAGTAATTCATATTCTTAGTTTTTTCGGTAAAGTCACGTTGAAGAGAAACAACAAAATAATAAAATATATATAAAACAATAAAAAATTCTCACGACGTTTCGACCATAACTCAAACGGTCATCTTCAGGTCGTGACTTTACCGAAAAAACTAAGAATATAAAAAGTGTCACGTTTACAAAGGACAGATAGTTCACTACTTTAGCCCACCGGTGTGTTGAAGAGTGAATCAACATCGTTTAAAATTTGAGTACGACGTTTCGCTGGTAATAACATCCGGCAATCATCGGGCAATTCGCCAGAATGGTAAAGCCCTCGCTTGCTCCCGGTCTTAAATGGAGCAGCAGGGTGACGTCATCATTTAACTCATTCAGGTGCAGTGATTTGAGAAGACGTTAACCAGCCGTTGGTGCGCTTGTTGAACAGACTCCCGTGAATGGAGTGAAACGACCGGGAACGCAGGAGGTTGAACACGTAGGCTTAAGAGCGAAGGAGGAGGACTTCTTCACAATCAATTCTGGCTGTCGCCTTGTTGACGCTGGTTGTTGTGATCACCGGCGCAAGGTCGTACTCGAATTGTAAATGTTGTGGGTTTACCCCCCAACACACCGGTGTGCTGACGTAGTAACCAATTGGCACGTTCTGTTTACGTGACAAACCTTACCAATGGGCCGAGTCGGCTCGTGGTGGCGGGTTGAACTGCACATTTATAATCACGTGATCTAACCCCAAAAAAAACTTAATTATGGAACTCAGGAAGGCAGTGGTTCAGTCGGCGACCATGTAGAGCGCTAGAAGCTCAAAGCATATGCTGGAAATCTGCTTGAAGCCAAGCTCAGGGGCCAGTGTGAGCCCACCCCTTTGAGAAGGCCCACAAATGATAACTTATCCATCACTGCGGGTATCTTTGCTTGTACGAACCGGGTACTCTCGGGGAATAGAATTCGACCTGACAAACACTGCATTTTTGATTATCGTGCACTTCTGGCAATGCAGAAGTGACTGAGATTCCAAGTATCTGAGGTTTGTGTTAATGCGTGTGTGTGTGTGTGGTTCTGTGTGTGTGGGGAGCGATAGTGTAGCGGTTAGCGCGCTGCGCTATGAACCTGGCGACCCGGGTTCGATTCCCGCTCACGGCCAACACCAGTGACGATTATCTGAACCGGTCCCGGGCCTTCCCTAGGTCGACTCAGCCTCAAATGAGTACCTGGTACGGTGTGTAAACATCGCGACTGGGCAGACAAAGGCGGTCGGGCGTGGTGCTGGCCACCCACCCCCTCGTGTACCGTTCCGGCCTTCATAGGTGCTCGCTAACAGCACTTGCCCCTACAGTCTGTTACAGGCTATACGGGGGATCTTTGTCTTTGTTTTTGTGTGCGTTTCTGCGTGCGTGTTTTTTCGTGTGCGTTTCTGCGCATGTATCTTTCTCTGTGCGTGTTTTGGTGTGTCCGTGAGTTGTGGTGTGCGTCTTTCAATGTGTATGTATTTCTACGTGTGTATGTATTTCTGCGTCTGTCTTTTTCTTTCTGTGTCTGTGTCTTTCAATGCATGTATGTATCTTTGTCGTTGTGTGTTTCTGTGCATGCGTTTTTCTGCGTGTTTCTGTGCATGTATTTCACTGTGTGTTTCTGCGCGTGCGTTTCTGCCCGTGCGTCTCTGTGCGTGCGTGTCTGTGTTCCTGAACGTGTGTGTGTGTGTGCGTGTGCTTCTGTGCGTGTGTTTCTGTGCGTGCGTGTCTGTGTTCCTGAACGTGTGTGTGTGTGTGCGTGTGCTTCTGTGCGTGTGTTTCTGTGCGTGCGTGTCTGTGTTTCTGAACGTGTGTGTGTGTGTGCGTGTGCTTCTGTGCGTGTGTTTCTGTGCGTGCGTGTCTGTGTTCCTGAACGTGTGTGTGTGTGTGTGCGTGTGCTTCTGTGCGTGTGTTTCTGTGCGTGCGTGTCTGTGTTTCTGACCGTGCGTGTGCATCCCAGGAGGGAAGTTCCCCATTAAGTGGACCGCACCAGAGGCTGCGTTGCACGGCCACTTCACCATCAAGTCCGACGTGTGGTCGTTCGGCGTGCTGCTCACCGAGCTGGTCACCAAGGGGCGCATCCCCTACCCCGGTCAGTGTTGGGTCTCTTTGTGTACGAGTGGTGCCCGTACAGGTGCGTGTGCATGTATAGCTGGGTGTGCTTGTGTATGCACGTGGGGGAGCGGCAGTGTCGCGGTTGGCGCGCTGCGCTGCGAACCCAGCGACCCGGGTTCAATTCCCCGCTCACGGTCAACGCCAGTGACGATTACCTGAACCGGTTCTGGGCCTACCGTAGGTCGACTCGGCATCAAGTGCTGACGAGGCAGTGGCAACAAAGACCAGCTCTGATGGGGTCTACTGCGGATGAGGTCCATGGATTTCCAGGGGCTCGGTGCCGTTAGGGATGGAACGATGGTGGCATGGTGGTTAGAGGTCTGCGCTATGAACCCGGCGACGTGAATTTGATTCCCGTTCACGGCCAACACCGTAGACGAATGATGCCCGAACCGGATCCGGACCCTTCCCTTTCACCAACCCGTACTGACTCCTCGGGACAGATGATGGGAGGCAGAGGCCACGGTGTATCAGGGATATGTGACGAATATCTGAACCGGTCCAGGGCCGACCCACGATTGACGCAGCCTTAATTGAGTACCTGGTGTGACGTGTAAACATTTTCACAAGGGAGACAAACGTAGCTGGGCATGGTGCTGGCCACCCCCCCCCCCCACCCCCTTGTGTGCTGTGCCAGCTGTCATAGGTGCTCGCTAACAGCACTTGCCCCAATGGTCTGTTAAGCTTATATGGTGGATATTCTATCTTTGTCTGTACTTGTGTGTGTGCATATCCTTCGAAATGCGTGTCCGTTTCTATGCTTATGTGTGTCTGCGTGCATGTGTGTGTGTGTCTTTGGGGGAGTGGCGGCAAAGCGGTTAGCGCACTTCAATACGAACCTGGCAACCAGAGTTTGATTTCCGCTCGCAACCGATAACAGCGGTGAATATTTGAACTGGACCTGGGTCTCCCTTTGGTCGACTCCGCTTTAAATGAGTACATGGTGCGGTGTGTGAACATCAGTCCTGGGGGGGAGGCAAAGGTGGCCGGGCGTGATGTTGGCCACCCACCACCTCCTATGCCGTGCCGACCCTCGTTCGTGCTCACTCACAGCATTTGCCCCAGCAGTTTGTTAAAGGCTACACGGGGGATCTGTACGTCTGGGACGCGCTTCCTCCCGACATCAGCAAGCCACTGGAGCTACAGCTATCGATTGAAAACTAATTTCTGTACAACTGCTTTGCGTGTTTGGTTTTGCCGTCCTTCCCCTGTACCTTTGACTAGCACGGTTGGCTACGTATGGGTGCAAAAGAATTTTTTATTTAAAGCTTTCGTGACTGCAGTAATTCATATTCTTAGTTTTTTTCGGTAAAGTCACGTTGATGAGAAACAACAAAATAATAAAATATATATAAAAACAATAAAAAATTCTCACGACGTTTCGACCATAACTCAAACGGTCGTCTTCAGGTGTGTTGGTTCGCATAAATTTATTTTTAAACGGCGCATTTATTTATTTATAAAAAAAAACGTTAGCGCCACGCGCAACGATTTGGCAGTTTACCCTAGGTCGAAACGTCGTGAGAATTTTTTTATTGTTTTATATATATATTATTATTTTGTTGTTTCTCTTCAACGTGACTTTACCGAAAAAACTAAGATTATGGTGCAAAAGAAGTTCAACATACATGCATGCATATATATATTTGTGTGTGCACGCGCGCGTGTGTGTGTGTGTGTGTGATGACGCGCCCCCCCCCACGCAGGCATGATGAACCGCGAGGTTCTGGGCAATGTAGAGCAGGGATACCGCATGCCCTGCCCGCAGGACTGCCCCGACTCCCTGTACGAACTCATGCTTCTGTGCTGGCGCAAGGAGCCCGAACAGCGTCCCACGTTCGAGTACCTGCAGTCCTTCCTCGAGGACTACTTCACAGCCACGGAGCCGCAATACCAGCCCGGAGAAAACCTCTAGCGGCGGCTGTGCCCGGGTCCCAAGTATCGCAGCCCTTGCTATCGTCAGCAGTTATCATTTCTGTCGTCGTGTTTGAATCGCGGTGTGGTCGGCCAGGCGGCTCCTAGAGAGTTCGACGTCATCCGATTCTCTGACCCGTGTCGTGGAGAAACACGAGCCGGCATCTCTTATATCGCAGGCTCCGTTCTTGATCAGTTTGTCTCCGTCGGGCTCTCTCAGGGGACTAATACCCGTCTCAGAGCACTGAGCAGGCATCGCTGAGGTCCTAAGGTCAAAACCAAGGCTCCCCGTCTGTGATTCAACTTTGTGTTCAAGTGTGGCAACTTTGTGGGTCTCAATCCAGTCACAGATGACAGCACAAACAAATGTTATTTGAGATTCGTATTTCGTGTTGGATTTTGGTGTGAGAGCTTGATATCTATCGTTATTCTGCTTTTTATTCGAATGATAAGACATGAAGCAAAATCCATTCATTTGCACCTTGTGATGGCGGTGACGAGAGGAGCCGATTACAGACACTGAAAATGGTATCACTGGTGTGATCACCCTTGCCATCATTGAACATGACAATGGAAGGGCCCTTCTTTCTGTAGGGGATGATGATGATGAAAATATGTTTACTTTTTGTTTTGCGTCTCGACAATGACAGTGGCACACAATTTCTGATGAAACTTCCCCTCCCCCCCCCCCCCCCCAAAAAAAAAATAAGAAGTGCATGTGATATCACGTGCACGGGCGACGCTTTTTGTGTACACTGCTGTGGACATTGGCGATGTGGCAACTATATAAAGTGGAATGCTCGACCATAAATACGCACGGTTCACGTTCCGATGAGTTCATTCGACGTATCCCTTGCACGGAGCTCGGTCATAGTCAGTTAGGACTTGGAAAATGTTATTGCGCCAGGCTCCGGTACAACGTGCTCCGTGGATAGACCAAGGAAAGCAGAGATCACTCTTCATTACTCGTGGAAGTTAGGAGGTGAAGAAAAACGTTGCCTACGGGACCGTGAGCTTGGTCAACGTTGCACCCGTTTTCGAATGGGCACTGGACGTGGCTCATCTCTGTTGATGGTCCTGCGATGGGGCAGGAATGCTACGATACGATGGCTTGAACCCGATTTCTCCCGAGGACTGTGACCACTGCAGATTTCCCAGTCCAATTGTTTTGGCACTTTGGGTTGTGCTCATTTGTTGCTGTTCCCGGAGGGATGGCGATAATGACGATGATGATCGAAAATGACGATAATGATGATGGTGATGATGATGATGCCGTGTCAACTATGAGCCAGGATTTGGACTCTTGACTGGAAGCTCTACTTTTTCATTGAATGAGCTCATCCTCTTGGAAGGTCAAGAGGCCAAACAGGGAGCCTACGACTGCCCTCAATGAAACGCACGGAACACCGCAACACGGAGCCTCGTAAAAAAAAACAGCTGCTTTTTACTCTATGAAGTCGTCCTGTAGCCACAGTGTTAAATTCATTTTTTTTTACACAATAAGTAAACGCTTTGATCTTTTGAGATAGTTTTTTTTTTATTTGCCAAATTGGTGTTTACTTTATGAAAAAAGGAAAATGATGCCAATGTTGTAAAGAAAAGAAACAACCATCGTATACGTGTGGAGTAAATTCTTTACTCTAAGTCATAATATGTTCAAAGTGTCGACAATCTTGTTTCAAAGGATGGCATACAGTGAGGGAAAAAAGTATTTGATCCACTGCTGATTTTGTACATTTGCCCACTGACAAATAAATGATCAGTCTATAATTTTAATGGTAGGTTCATTTGAACAGTAAGAGACAGAACAACAACAAAACAAATCCAGAAAAACGCATGTCAAAAATGTTATAAATTGATTTGCATTTTAATGAGAGAAATAAGTATTTGACCCCTCTGCAAAACATGACTTAGTACTTGGTGGCAAAACCCTTGTTGGCAATCACAGAGGTCAGACGTTTCTTGTAGTTGGCCACCAGGTTTGCACACATCTCAGGAGGGATTTTGTCCCACTCCTCTTTGCAGATCTTCTCCAAGTCATTAAGGTTTCGAGGCTGACGTTTGGCAACTTGAACCTTCAGCTCCCTCCACAGATTTTCTATGGGATTAAGGTCTGGAGACTGGCTAGGCCACTCCAGGACCTTAATGTGCTTCTTCTTGAGCCACTCCTTTGTTGACTTGACCATGTGTTTTGGGTCATTGTCATGCTGGAATACCCATCCACGACCCATTTTCAATGCCCTGGCTGAGGGAAGGAGGTTCTCACCCAAGATTTGACGGTACATGGCCCCGTCCATCGTCCCTTTGATGCGGTGAAGTTGTCATGTCCCCTTAGCAGAAAAACGCCCCCAAAGCATGTTTCCACCTCCATGTTTGACGGTGGGGATGGTGTTCTTGGGGTCATAGGCAGCATTCCTCCTCCAAACACGGCGAGTTGAGTTGATGCCAAAGAGCTCCATTTTTGTCTCATCTGACCACAACACTTTCACCCAGTTGTCCTCTGAATCATTCAGATGTTCATTGGCAAACTTAAGACGGGCATGTATATGTGCTTTCTTGAGCAGGGGGACCTTGCGGGCACTGCAGGATTTCAGTCCTTCACGGCGTAGTGTGTTACCAATTGTTTTCTTGGTGACTATGGTCCCAGCTGCCTTGAGATCATTGGTAATTCTGGGCTGATCCTCCCGTGTAGTTCTGGGCTGATTCTTCACCGTACTCATGATCATTGCAACTCCACGAGGTGAGATCTTGCATGGGGCCCCAGGCCGAGGGAGAATGACAGTTCTTTTGTGTTTCTTCCATTTGCTAATAATCGCACCAACTGTTGTCACCTTCTCACCAAGCTGCTTGGCAATGGTCTTGTAACCCATTCCAGCCTTGTGTAGGTCTACAATCTTGTCCCTGACATCCTTGGAGAGCTCTTTGGTCTTGGCCATGGTGGAGAGTTTTAAATCTGATTTATTGATTGCTTCTGTGGACAGGTGTCTTTTATACAGGTAACAAGCTGAGAGTAGGAGCACTCTCTTTAAGAGTGTGCTCCTAATCTCAGCTCGTTACCTGTATAAAAGACACCTGGGAGCCAGAAATCTTGCTGATTGAGAGGGGGTCAAATACTTATTTCCCTCACTAAAATGCAAATCAATTTATAACATTTTTGACATGCGTTTTTCTGGATTTTTTCGTTGTTATTCTGTCTCTCACTGTTCAAATAAACCTACCATTAAAATTATAGACTGATCATTTATTTGTCAGTGGGCAAACGTACAAAATCATAAGGGGATCAAATACTTTTTTTCCCTCACTGAATGGGGTCAGGGTCAGAGTGTTACTTATTTTTTTGAGAATTAGGCACCTGAAAAAAAGGTCTTGCCAAACATAATGTGGGCTTATTTAAAAGCCCCAGTCTTCATATGCCGACCCCAATCGGTGGCACAAGGCTGCGTTTATTGTCAGGGTTTACCAGAGTGAAACACGATGCACTGTATTACGTGTGAGTCTTGTGTGCGTACCTTTCGATGTCTAATTCTCAAAAGGTTTTCTGACCGCCCCATGTATTTTACAAATCACATATCCTTGGTTCTTTACCTTTCTCGGTAAGTTGACGGCCAATGCACACAACACGTTTTTTGAATGCTTTTCCCGCTTGTACGTGTGCAGGTGTGAGTTCTTTACATTGGTGTTACGCCGATATACTTTCCTGCATGTTTTAAGCCCCCTGGAATTTGTCTCATTTATAAACGTAATGAAAGTGTTGTCTTAAGACGATTAACTTAAGTCACCACTATCATGCTCTTTTTGTGTATCATAACGTTGACACTTGTTTGATAATTCTCAATCCGTGAAATGGGGGGTTATACTGGCTTAAAAAAACGTATTGCAAACTCAAACATTTTTACATAATCACGTGCACATGCTTTTTTATCATCCAGTCATAACGACGACAACAACAACAAACTTCCCCAGCGGTTGAAATTGTCACGTTGCACGATAAATGATTTTAAAAGTATGGAGTTGGCTGGGTGACTCAGGGCGCTAAAGCTTTGTCTGTGCCATCATAATACTGAGCCATCTGGGATCCTTGATTTGAAATTCGTGCTTCTCTCTCTCTCGTATGAAGTGTGTGTTTGATGGCCTGGTTACCAGTTTCTGCACACACACGCACGTTGTTATTGCACTTAATGAGTTCAAGCCCACGTGATGGCTTGATGGGCGACCTACTGAACGGAGCACAGCTCGGTGGCCGTGTAAGATGTTCCCTTGAAGGTTTTTGTTTCAATGGTCGATTTAACTGTGAGTGTGGCAAATGCCCATGGTGGCAAGTGAACATTCCTGCAGCCAGTATATTAACAGGACAGGTCGCTGTTGGTGTCACACACAGTTGAAGTAATTTTATCGCCCCATATGGGTGATGGGCGGGGTTGATTCCCCCAAAGCACAGTGCTACCCAGCCAATGGGAATCACGTGTTCTTTGCTTAAATCTTGTTGTAATCTATAACATTCGAGTGAATCGAGAAGTGGAACTGACCGTATTGTCAGGTCTCGGTGTTGAGACACATTTTAAGCTTTATGTCAATATCAGTATAGTGTTGCCTTGTCGTTCACTTTGCTAGTTGTGTGAACGTCTTTCTTCAAGACAACCGACTGGCATACAAGGTGTTGTGCGTCTTCACATGATGCTTTGTGATTTAAATACAGTACCCTGGTTTTTAATGTTAGGGTATATTGATTAGAATATTGTTCTTCCAGTTCCATTTATTTTGATAAGAGGTGGAATGTATGCCATAAAACATCGTGAATTATATTATTTGTGTTGGAGTTACGTGGGTGGGATCATGGGAAATGCAGGTGTATATGGTATGACGGTAGGCTGACCAGATTAAAAAAACCTGTCACTTTGAATTTAGTCGCGGAAAATACATTCTGGTTGCATCACTTTAAAGCAACCAAATGTAACATTGAATGATAACGTTTTGTACGTAGTCACACCTCTTGTAGTTTAACCAGTTTTATTTAGGGGTTTTCCAGCAACATCATTAAACAAGAGGCAATACAGGCATCATCAAAGTACAGAGAAACCTAGTCCCGGCCAGCCATCATATCCAAAAAGTGAGAACACGATGCTACGGAGCGTGTTGAAAACATGCAATACGTCTTAGCGGATTAGCAAACATGAGGGTTTAGGGCTCGTAGCAATATACATTTTTTTACGTCAATGCTCCCATACACAGGGGTCTTCTTCATTCCTTATATGTACGTTGAACTTCTTTTGCACCGTACGTATCCAACCTCCGATTGCGGGAGAAAGATCACAAACTAAACACACAAAGGAGTTCGAAAGAAATTCGTTTTCCCATCTAGATTTAAAAGTGGCTTCCTAATGTCGAAGTGAAGGAGCGATCCAGACGGCCGCAGATGCGCATCCGAAAGCGCGCGATGCAGTGGCAGTCCTTGTTCGATGGTCGGTCAAGCGCCCGAACCATCGAACGAGTATAGAAGATAGCCTCTTCCTGCAGGGCCACGGACGTTATGCAAAGTAGGCTTTTGAGGTGGCCACCAAGTACCCGTTCCCACCACCTGATTGCCAAACCCTCTACCCAAAACCCCTCCGCTTGTCTGCACTGCAAGTGGTGCAGCATTGGGCGAAGTCACCTGAGTTTATTTGTAAAAAAAAAAAAGACAAAAAGTTAAA